CAACTTTGTTGATGATTTTTATTGAATATCTCGGGTAAATGCTGTCCGATTTTGAAATGTTATGCCTTTTTAAATTCGTACGGATCCCTACTATAAATTGGCATTCAAAGAAATTGAAAATATATATGTTAAAAAATTGCATAGTTGCAATATTTAAGTTTTTGACAAAGATCGCCTTGAAACGACATAATCTCACCATAGCTTTGTCGTTTTAGAACGTTTTTAGATCGGCGGAACTACGTCGCTTTATCTTATCTTTATCTTTATCTTATTTCCAGAATAGAAATCGATTAACTGCTTGGCTGGCGAAAGAAAAAGATACAGAATGTGCATATTCAAGGATTGAATACAGTCTATAGCATACTTTTCAGCTGTATTCGAATTCTTAGGAAATTTATGGTATACATACATATATTTATATATAGTAAAGCTATTATTTTTGTTTAATAATTTGCTTAACATTTATTGTATTTGATTGCATTTCAATTAATTACATTTATTGAATCAGACTTGATCAGAGCTAAACCTAAACATGAAGCTTACATTTTGCAATACAAATTTCCAGCTATGCGGAATAGGAATATATATATAATAGTTATGTGTGTGAGTGTCATATATGTATATTTTGTATAATTATTGTATGTGTTTAAATATTGAATATTTGTTAATTTAAAGGCCGTTCCATGGCGTTGACGACCCGTAAACGTTTCCGGAAGCTGTTTAGAAGTCGCTGGCTCAATCTCAAGGCGCGTATGCTGTTGCCCAGGGCTGGGCTGCTGTTCAACCAAAAATAAACGAAAACTTCATGTACGAAGTCTAAAACAGGATTGAATGGAGTCAAGAAAACAAACAGAGCTATCTGCAGCACGCCGAAGACTAAATACCCTTGCAGACAAACGAAAGGTTTTGGACAAAAAACTTGAAATTTCGACTAATTGGATGGAATATTGAATTGAATTTAATTTTCATAATTTAATGTATCGAATTATTAGGAGCGTTAATTAATGAGTAATATTAAAAATAAATAATTTGTTAATGCAAAAACTCATTTTGCGATTAATCATTTATATGGCAACTATATAGTCTAGAGGCACGAACGGTTTTGGGGCAAGTTCTTGACAGACAAACAGATGAACTCGTCTAAAAGGAAGGGTATCAGAAAACTGCAAGGGCATTAAAAGGCGGTGCGATTGCAATAGGCAGGCGTGGCAGAATTGAAGGCAACTACAACAAAAGAAAGCAAACAAATGGTTTGATAATATGTTTTGGACATATTTTTTTTGTTTTGTACACATTACTTTATTTACTCGGGCAAATCGATGCAGATTTGAAAAGAGACATGTAATTACATACGTTGTTACACTATAGATAGCATTAAACATTAAAGTAAAACGACTAATATAATATAATAATTATAGTTATAATTATGATAATAATCAAAATAATAATAATCAAAATAAGAAAGCAGCGCTTTTCTAATTAAAAAGTTTCTTGGTTTTTTTCGTTTCGACTAAACACTAAAAGATGTTCAAATTTGTAGAATGTTTTTGTATTTGCATCAATATACATTTACCGTTAGCTTGATGCGATTTTATCGATTTCATTTTGATTTTCGTTTCATTTCATTTCACTTCGTTTCATTTCATTTCGTTTCGTTTCATATTTTTTTTTTTTTTTTGCCAAATTAGATTTCTGATTTAACAATTTCTAGGCACAGTCCAACTACAGTCTAATAAATATTTATGTTTGTGTGAATGAAAAATGAAAACATGTCCAAGACTTGAAAAAATAATCGAATATCGCGATAAATGCATGTGCTGCCCCTCCCCTCCCCTCTCATCCCATCCATTCCGCTGCTGAACAGCGCCAACAGTTTAAACAGTTAAAAGCATGCACGCACATACATACAAACACACACACCCAAGCACACACACACACTGAGAGAGTGAGAGAGAGAGAGAGAGAGAGAAACAATAATAGAGAATGCTAGAGTATCAGAGGAAGTTTCGTTAAGATTTAAAACGCCTGCTGCCCGTTAGATGGCGTTGCGTGGCGTGCGCGTATTGGACAATTAAAAACAAAAAAAAAAAAAAAAGACAACAACCCACTCACACAGAGAAAATAAATAATTTGTTTAACTTAAAAACTAAAACATATTTGATATTTAATACTTAGATGTAGCCTTTAAACAACAACTCTTGTGCCGTTCGATTTCTTAATCGTATTTTCTTTTCTTCATATTTTTTCATTTTCTCAATTTTCAATTTTCGTTAACTCGCTATATTCCTCTCTCCTTCTTTCTTGCTGGCATATGCGTCGTTTTTCTGCTCTTAAGTAACTGCGATATGGTTTTTCTTCTTTATAGGAAGTGTTGTTAGTTAAATGGAATTCAAGTTTGCGATTTTTTACCAACTTTTTTAGCTGCCATGCGACTTAAGTATTGTATATGTTTTAACATAACCTATACATATACATGTATATATGTATATAGATATATATATATATATATATATAGTGAGTAGATATGCACTCTCGACTCCACACACTTCTCTAACTGTTAAACAAAAAAAAAGAAGAAGAACATTTGGCCAATGGAATACGCTACAACAATTGTGCAAGGCACATACATGCACAAATCTATATGTATATCGATAAAAGTACATATATATGTATATGTATATGTATATATATGTATATATATTGTATAAAACTTTTCACTCGACTCGTTGCTTAAACTTTAACATAATTACAGCGCTTTTTTCTTTTTGTTTGTTTTACTCTCGTTATTGTTATCGTACTTTTGTTCTCGTTACATTTCACTCGTTACTTTGCATTTGGGTTAGCTTAAGAACTAACAAAGTGTTGGGTACCCATAGACAATAAAAAAAAATGCATATACATATATATATATATATGAAGCCTAAACGTGTACATATATGTATATATATATATAAAGGTTTAACTGTGTGCTTTGAGTTATTCTTCTTTTTTCTTTACATGGATACACATAAGTACAGCTAGATTACGAACCTATTGGATTATATAATAGAGAACTCGGTTATCGTTTCAGATTTCAGGATGGTTGACGTTGCCATATTTTAGCAAAGAAGTAAATATAAAATTAAAAAAAATTTATTTGTTTGTTGTGTTGTTAATAAAGCGGCTCGAACGAGTTGGCGATAGTTGGTAGTAAAGGCCAACTTGATAATTATGGAGGTTGTTCTTTGTAAATTAATCAAAAAATATATATGTATATGTATATGTATGCATGGTATATAGGATAGTGTAGTGTTGTGTAGTGTAGTGTACGTAAATAGCGTTAAATTAAGTAAATCTTTTAGTTATATGTAGTTGGTAAGTATAAACATTAGATACAATCTTCTTGTTAAAGCAGTCTAAATAAAACGTTAGAAGACAACTTTGTTTTTCTTTTCTTTTTTTACTCGGCTAACATTTATCCAATTTGGCCAGCTACAATATCCAATTAATTGCCGCAACAGCTGCTCTTCTTCACATGCTCCGATTTCATTCGATATATATATATATATATATAGGTGTGTGTGTGTGTGTGTGTGTATATAATAGCTCGGGAAAGGTCTTCATTGTTTCAACGAAGAGTTGGCCGGCAGCGTGGCGGAGCGCTGCACATTCGCCGCGTACGGCTTGTAGGCGGAACGTGTCGATTGGCTGCACCAGGCGAGGTTCGTGATGGTATTTTGGTGATAATGATGATGGATGTTTCGTACAGGGTAGCGAGTAGTTCGTACGAACGAGCGAGTAGTTCGAACGAGCGCGAGTAGTTCGAGCAAGCGAGAAAAGAAAAATACAAGATACACGATTAGCTTAAGATTAGAAACACAAATAGCCTTCAATTAGCAGCGGTTAAGTTATTATTATTTGTAATATTATTTTCTTATTTGGCAACGTCAATTGGGTTGGGGATTTGGGTTAGCTTTTCTGCAGCGTACTATATTTTGTTTTGTGTGTGTGTGTGTGTGTTGCAGCGCTGGTTTACCTGGGCGATATCTTGCTGCCGTCGGTGCTGTTGTTGTTGGATGAGTTCGCCTTGTATCCACTCTTTTGGATACGCTTCAAGAGCCGTGCCACCCACAGCGATTGCTCCTCGGGCGTATTGGCCAGCAGCAGCATGTCGCGTGCGCTGCGCGGATCATGATGCAGCTTGCACGGCGCCAGCGGATCATGTTTATCCACGTGCTCCTTGTGTATCTTGTTGCGGCATCTACAAAACATCATTTTTGAGTGTGTGTGTGTGTGTGTGCGTGTTAAATCTCTTGGAGCAACAAGTTGCAGCAGCAGGTGCTTACCTCTTGCATTCGTAGGCCGCCGGCGGCTTGAACATGGACCACAGCGGCTTGGCGCAGACGTCACAGAACGATGGCGTATGGTACGTAATGTGCACGAATTCATGGCCTAGACAGAGAAAGGCACACAATGAGAGAGAGAGAGAGAGAGAGACAGAAAGAGACAACATGTTGAAGGTTCTTAATGTCATTTTCAGCAGTAGATCTTATTGTACTTTAACATATTCGTGTATTGTCAAAATTCCAATTGCATTTAAATTATGGCTCATATTGGTGGGCAGCATATGTAAATTGGTTTAATTACTTGATTAATAGCTATGAGGTAGTAGCGGAGAGATGGCGATAGCTATAAAATGAAAGATACTTGATATGTATATACTATTCTAGATATTCGATTTATATCGATTACTTGGAAACAGGGCAAGTTATCGAATATCGGAAACAAACTCGATCTGCGCGGGCACTAGGAGGACCTACAGCTAAAATTTCAAGTGTCTAGCTTTTATAGGTTCTGATATCCTTGAGTTCATACATACGGACAAACGGACGGACAGACGGACATGGCTAGATCAACTCGGCTATTGATGCTGATCAAGAATATATAAACTTTATGGGGTCGGAGATGGTTCCTTCTGTCTGTTACATACATTTGCACAAATACATTATACCCTTTTTACCCATTCTCAATAGGTTCAGGGTATAAAACTTCTTTGGACTTCTTTGAATAAAAGCTGCAAACTGCATTTTCACTTGCGTGACATTTGTAGTTTAGCATCAATCAGTCAATCAGTCAGTCAGTCAATCAGTCAATCAGGTTAAGGAACCGATCTTTAATTGTATATGCAAAAAGTGAACTTCTTAAATTAAAGCTGCAAACTGCATTTTCACTTGCGTGACATTTGTAGTTTAGCATCAATCAGTCAATCAGTCAGTCAGTCAATCAGTCAATCAGGTTAAGGAACCGATCTTTAATTGTATATGCAAAAAGTGAACTTCTTTGAATAAAAGCTGCAAACTGCATTTTCACTTGCGTGACATTTGTAGTTTAGCATCAATCAGTCAATCAGTCAGTCAGTCAATCAGGTTAAGGAACCGATCTTTAATTGTATATGCAAAAAGAGAACTTCTTTGAATAAAAGCTGCAAACTGCAATTTTCACTTGCGTGACATTAGCATTAGTTAGTTTAGCATCAATCAGTCAATCGGTCAGTCAATTAGGTTAAGGAACCGATCTTTACAGTTAGGGCTTACCCTTGTGTAAAATGGTGCCGGGTCGCTCCTCATTGCTGGCATGCAGCGTCGCGTCGAGCTGCTCATCGGGACGATGGGAGGCGCCCTCGCCGGCGTACAGCAGCTGGAAGATGCGCGGAATCTCTTTGGCATCGGCGCGTATGACATCGCCTTGGGTAACGCTGCGCACGTGATACACTTTGCTGCAATCGGGCAAAAGAGGGAGAAGTTTAATATACAAAGAGAAGGAGAGAGAGGGAGAGAGGGAGAGGGAACTTACCTCAGATCGAGTATGAGGACGGGATCTGTTGTTTTATTCTTGTCATATTCCGTATTGTAGAAGATGATTTTGCGGGACGAAACGATCACATATTGGCGCTTCCAGTTTTGGCCGCGACGGCGATTTTGCTTATTTGGAACGGAGAGGACGCCCTCAAAGACCGAGTCCTGTGTAAGTGAGAGCAGAGAGGAGTGCTGAATCAGCGAGTAGCGAGTAGCGAGTAGCGAGTAACGAGATCAATTAAAGAAACGATCGAGAGAGAGAGAGAGAGAGAGAGAAAGGAGAGAGTGGGAGAGATAAAGCAAAGTGTATGTGTATGTGTGTGTGTGTGAGTTGTGTGTGCATGTGTGTGTGCATGTGTGCGTGTGTGTGTGTGTGTGTAGCATACCTGACTATCCTCGGGATCATTGTCGGCAGATGAGAGCGAGGCGGTCTCGTTGAGTTTACTCTGAAGATGCTCGATTTCGGTGGCCTTGCAATCGATCTCCATGCTCATCTTCTGCTTGGCCTGCTGATCCTCGACGGCCTGCTGCTGCAGATCCTGATATTTAAGCAGCATCTGGTTGTATTTTTCGCGCTCCTGCGACAACTCCTGCTGCAAGCGTCGCATCTCCTTCTCCTTTTTGCGCAGCTCGGCCGTGGAGCGGGCCTTGACCTTTTGCTCTGCAATCGAAAAGGGAAGGTTGATTGATATTTCAGATAGAGAGAGAGGAAGAGGGGGGATGGGTACTCACTTGGCCAGTCGGAGTCGCGTCGATTCATGACCTCGGCAAGCTTGGCAACGGCGACCTGTTTGAGGAGCACCTCGTTTTTGCATTTTTCACCCAGCTTGGCGATCTCCTCGTCCTTGGCGGCGCGCTGTTGCTGCAGCTCGTCGAGCTGTTTCTTGTGCTGCACCAGCAGCTCATCCCATTCGTTGCACTTCAGTTTGAGTTTCTTGTGCAGATCGGCTTCGGTTTCTTTGAGCGTGGCCAATGTTGCCTCCTTGGCATTGATCTCGTTGCGATGCTTCATGATGAAGTCCTTCAGTTCGAGCTCCTTGATGGTCTTCTCCTTCTCAAGATCGGCGACCGTCTCCTCGGCTATGGAACGTGCCAGCGCCTCAGAATCGGCGCGCGCAACCGCAACCTGCACTTGATGCTTCAGCGAGACGCGCTCCTCCTCGAGATCCTCGATCTTGGACAGACGCTCGGCGCTCTCCTCGCGGTTCTCGTTCGCCTGCGTCTTGTACAGGCGCGAGAAGCACTGTTCGGCCTCTAGCTGGGCCTGCAGCTCCCGGTTATTGGCCAACGCCTCGTGGTGGGTGCCCTTCAGCTGTGTCAGATCCTCCTCGAAGCGTCGCTTCGCCTCCCGCTGCGTCGCGAGCTCCTTTTGCAATTGATTTTCCCGGGAACGTAAATGCGCCACCTCCGAGCTGTGCAGACTGAGCTCCGACAGCAGCGAATTGCGTTTGCTGTGCTCCTGATCCAGTTGAGACTGCAGTGCGGCAACCTTTTCCGACTCCTGACGGCACTCGCCCTCCAGTTTCTGGAGGCGCCAACTGTATCTGGCGATAGTCGACGGAGAGCATGCTCAGCTGTCGCTCCTTCTCCTGCGAGTTCTGATCGGCCTTGATGCGTGCGGATTTCTCCTCGTTGAGCTTGGACTGCAGCGCCTTCACCTCCTGCAGGTTGGCCTCCTCGCGCGAGACGAGACGCGACTTTTCCGTCTCCTGGTGGGCCTTCACCTCCTGCTGGTAGCGCGCCTGGGCGGCCTTTAGCTCGAAATCGAGACTGGCATGCGTCTTCTCCAATTCGCTAATCTTCTCGAGCAGCGTCCGGTTATCGTCCTGCGCCTTCTGTTCGCGCAGCAGCGTCCGCTCGAGATCGTTTGTCAGCGTTTGCATTTTGTTTTCGGCCTCTTTGTGCAGCTCCTTGAGCTGGGAGCGCAACGTCTTCTCCTGGACCACCTGGGCCTGCAGTTCGGCATTCTCCTGACCGAGCTCCTCCTTGTGCTTCTGCAGTGTCTCAATCATTTCGTCCATGTCGCGCACCTTCTCCTCGTGCGTCTTCAGCGTAAAGCCCAGCTCGGCATTCTGTTTCTTCAGCTTTTGTGTGTTCTCCGTTTCGCCCTTGAAGCTCAACTCCATGTCGTGCAGCTGCTTCTCCAGCGAGAGCACCTTCTCGTTTATGTTGAGGTCACGCATACGCGTCTTCTGCTCATTCTCCAGCTTTCGCTGTGTCTCCACAATCAAGGCCTCCGCCTTTTTGCGCAGCTCAATCTCCACCTCGACCTTCTGCATGGCCACTTTGTAGTTGTGCTGCCGCAGGGCCAGATCCATTTCGTATTCGCTGGCGATGCGCTGCAGTTCCGATTCCCGTTTCGTGATCAGCTCGATCTGTTGCCGCAGCCGTGTGTCCTGCTGCTCGAGTGCCTCGCAGCGGGCGCGTTCACGCTCGAGCAGCGCCTCGAAACGTTTCAGTTCATTCGAATTGGATGGACGATGGCGATGATTGTGTCCATGATTGTTGTTCGGATTGGTGGTGGTGGTGCTGCTGCTGCTGTTGACCGACTGTGATTCCTTGGACTCGGCATCGACAGTGTCGCTGGAGAGCAGCTGATAGTCGCCCGTATAGGTGAAGCCAATGAAGGGCAAATGATTGCCATCGAAACTCTTGGGCACCGGAAACATCTCCTCCGGCTTTTCGTCCCGTTCAATATCCTCAAAATTGCGCGTATCATCATCGGACGTCAGCTCCGGCACAACCGGCGGCACGCTCTCTCTGATATTATCAAACGACCACGTGTCGTTGCGAAAGAACGGATGCGCCTTGATATCCTCGATGCCATACCGACCCAGACGCTGTGTGCGATCCGTGAGAAAGGCTCGGATCAGGGCTTTGGCATGCTCGCTTATCTCCACCTCGGCGGGAAAACTGAGCGAATTCTTGTGATCCATGATTTTGCCATAGGTGCCCACCAGCGAGTCCGCATAGAATGGCGTCTCGCCGAAGAGCATCTCGTAAAGGAATATGCCCACCGACCACCAATCGCATTCGCGTCCATATTCATTGTCGACGCCCTGCGACTGCAGCACCTCGGGACTGATATAGTCGGGTGTGCCGACCGCATTGCTGGAGACCACCTGGCCATTGGCGCCCATGCGCATGCAGGTGCCAAAATCGGCTAGCTTCAAATGGCCATAGCTGTCCAATAGCATATTGTCCGGCTTGACGTCGCGATGCACGAAGCCCATGTTGTGTATGGTATCCAAAGCGAGCACCACTTCCATCGTATAGAATATGGCCCATTTCTCTGGTATCTCATAGTCGCCCATTAGCGATACGATATCGCCGCCGGGCATAAAATCCATTACCATATACAGATATTTGCTGTCCTGGAACGCAAAATGCAGCTGGACAATCCATTCGGAATTCGCATGCGCCATTATGTGACGCTCCTCCCAAAAGAAGGCCGAATCCGGTCGCTTCATCATCTCGAATTTGGACAGACGCTTCATCGCGTACACCTGACTGGATGACTTGTGCCGCACCAGCTGCACCTCGCCAAAGGCGCCGGCTCCGATCAATTTGATGAAATCGAAATCATCCACATTCATGCGCAGCTGATTAATGCGCTGCGCCAACGGCTTGTCTGCAGAAATTTGGAAGGTTTATATTTTTTATATTCGGTACGGCATATTTCGACTCACATTTATAGGCATATTGCTCAATGTTCTTGAGACGCTTCAGCGAGTCGTGATCGCAGTCGCTGACCAGCGCCGATACCGTGTCCAGCAGGCAGTCCACGTTGCAGATGCTCGTCGGATCGCGCATCTCGCGCTCCAGCGCCGTCGCTCTGTGGGTCAAACATTAAAAACAGTTGAAATTCGAATCAAAATTATACAACACTAAACAGCTGAACAACACATAAAATATATCGATATATTGTTAGACGATGACGATGACGATGACGATGACGATAGCAACAATTTGGCCAATCATTAACGGAGAAAATTCGAATCAAAATTATACAACACTAAACAGCTGAACAACACATAAAATTGATCGATATATTATAAGACGATGACGATAACGATAGCAACAATTGTGAGTTGATTGCAATTCCGTTGGGTTATCGTTTTTTATTTAGTGACATATTAACACTATACTCGGCCTTTTTTTTGATCGATATAACGATAGTCGATACCGATAGCAACTCGATACAAATTTTTATATTTTAACTACGTTTTACACTTAGTTTGATTGCCAGATGTAGATTACAATAACGTCATACATTACCAAGTAAGGTATATCGATAAGCCGATAGGCGATAACTATTGCGAGAATACATTCTATGTATTTAGTGCTCAGGGTATATCGATAGGCGATAACGATTGCAGCCCGAAAACATTATTTGTAGTTTGTGCTCATGACTTATTATATATTTTTATGCACAAGATATTTAATGCGTGAAAATAGAGATAACAATAACGATAGATCGATAAGCGATAACAATTCCAGCTCGATTGCATATAAGAAGTTTATGCTAATCATTTTAATATTTTAGCTCCCAAGCTATTTTGCTACATGTTTCAAAGTTCGATTGCCAAATAGATATCACGATAAGTTAAGTATATCGATATACGATAACGATTGCAACTCGAGTGCAAAATATATAGTTTGTGCTCATGATATTTTACATATTCATTCCCAAGATATTGTGATATTTATGTGGAAAAACTTGATTGACCAATAAAGATAACGTTAGGTAAGGTTTATCGATAAGCCGACAGAAGAAATCGATATGCATAACATGTACCTCGTAATCATTTATTATACTTTTATGCAAAGATATACATATATTCTAGATGCTGTAAAACGTTATACGTTAATCGCCGACTGTGGAAGACTACACAACAAAACAAGCAATATTTAGCGATAAATAAACAAAATTCTTTGCATTGGCATTTAAAATTCACGAGAATATCTGAAAGATACTTAAAAATTTGATTGCCAGATGGGAAATACACTATGCTCAATGGGTTATCTTTAAATTGTGCGAAAGCAAAGTTTCAGTTCATGCGAACAAGTTTCCTTTTTATCGATAACTCCGCAGATGTACATCAAAATCGATAACTATCGATTGTCAGACTCCGTTTTCGGAGCATATCTCGTAAATTAGCTCGAGCTCGAGAGTATTTCTCTTTTATTTCGCACTCATATTTAAAAAGTTTGCAAAATTAGTTGCGCTAAGAAAATAAATTGTGCAGTGTTGCACAGTGTTATTAGGTCATTGCCAAGATATGATAGCACACTTCCGACAAGCAACAAAAATGTATAATAAAAATAAAGCTGGCAAAAGTGTTTACACACAAATAAGTTTCGTAATCACAAAACACAAAAACATCAGCTCCATTATTTACATAAATGATGCGGAAAAGCGCGTTCGATTACTCACATGCTTTTATTGATATACTACTAGCCACCCCTCCCCCCTTCACCACTGCCCCTCTTCCGACACACCCCTTAATAGACATTTTGTCGTGACTCAACACTTAACTCCGCCTCAGGCTCAGAGTAGACAAATGGTCGCTACGAGCCTCAAATTCAAATAGTCTGGCAACCATTTGGTAGCCAGGCGTCATTTTAGCTGATCTGGTCAGCTGATTACGTGCGTTGATTTTACGCAGTTTGTATACCCTAGCCTATGGGGTATACATATATATCTTGATCTGTAACAATAGCCGAGTCGATAGAGTACACTGCGTTTGTCTATGTCGAAGTAGGCTAGGATAAAATATATATAAACATTATATATATATAAATATTATATACTAAATTATTAGAATTGTAACGATCGGTCTTAAAGTGAGTTCTTTTGGGCACAACTTTTAAGTATTTCAAGATTTTTTCGAACTATAAATTCACGAACTTTTCAATGCTTTTAAACAGAGCTGAAATATCTGAACTGTATCCGACTATACCTATATCTATCATATAGCTCCTATACGATCTATAGTATATACTCCAGTAATCGAGAAATGTTTTTTTTTTTTTATAATACAAAGCATATTTGCCAAGGGTATTTAAAGTTCGACAAGTCGAGGTGTTTCTTCTAGTTTTTTTTTTTCGGTTTTTTTCGTAAGAACTTTATTGAAAATTCGCTCGACGCAGTTGCAAACAAAAAAACAACAACAACAACAAGAACAACAGTTGCAATGGGAGAAGCGGGCCTTGACTTTATCGCGGCAGCAGCGCTCAACTGTTGACTTTGATAAATTGTTGCAAGTGTGTGTGCGTGTGTGTGTGTGTACGTGTGCGTGTGTGTGTGTGAAGCCGTTGATATGGCTTACTTATGCGACGATGCGTCGCGCTTTCTTTCGTTGCATGCGAACAGACAACAAAAATAATGGGAAAGAAGAGCATATGCACAGTTTCTGATACACTACGCCATGGCACTTTGATTATGTGAAGACATATGCAACGAATTTGCGTGCGAATTTTGAGAATTTTTCTTATTATATATGTAAATTCTTGTCATTTTCAAAATCAATTACAAATTTTGCAAAATATTTTACTATGCACATTGTTATAGTTGTAAATTTCGGGCATATTGAAATGTGGTCAACGCGTTAAAGCGTTCCTATTTTGCGAGGAATCACTGTACCATTCACATCTGCAAACAGCTGGCAAAGCTACTTGCAAGGGTATTCCTTAGTCGTCAGCTAGCTGGATAATACGGTTCTTGTTTCAGTTGTTGCGTTGTTTTCTGAATGAACTCGAGAACTCAAGCACACACACAAACGCACACACAAACACACGCACTCACTGCCATGGCATGTTACCCCTACCCCCCCCCCCCTCTACCCCCCGCTGAGAACCTAAGAAGTTGCTTCGCTATCTCCGCAGCAAAAGCAGCTGCAAATTCATTGAAAACGCAGCACGCACACACACGCACACACACGCTCACACACACACGCACACACACGCAGAGCGCAGAAAAGTTTTGGCAAGATTGATTGACTGATTGAATGACAGACTGAATCATTAATTGAGCAACTGTTTAACTGTTTCAAGGGACTAGGAAACCAGCTGGAATATTTGCCGAAAAATTGAAAAAAAAAAGCTCTTCAAAAAATACGTGAATAAATTAAATTGAGTGCGGAAATCTAAATAAAGTTTATAATATTAAATGCATTAAGCAATTATATAAACAAAGGAAGGGTTTAAGTTTTTGTTATAGATGCGTGCTTTGGATACAAAATTATAAAATTATATCTATATGATTGGGAACTAGAGTGCTAAAGTCAGGTAAAGGCAGTGCTCGACTAGTAGATACCCTAAGACCAGCTCGAGCTGTCGTTACAAACATGCGAACTTTCTTTATATGAAATAAAGAAATATAAGAAGAAATCAACTTAATGCTGCGGTTGTGCTTGTTCTTGCCTTTATCCAATACTTAACGTAGCTTTCTTATGTAACTTCGGAGCTTATTGTCCGATCTTTATACAAATTCAAGGGCTTAAATATGACACCCAAATGTGCGTATATACCAAAGCACAAAGCTCTAGCTCTACAAATTCCCCTTTTCATTGATTCTAGCAATGGGGGCAAAAATCCAAAAGACTGAAATATTCCTAATCTGTGTATATTATACGAGAAGGGCCTTCTTACCAAATATGGTATCTATTTAGCTCCATCTGGAAGTAATGAGGAAGGAATTCTAAAGTGTCGTATTCATAATCTGTGTATATTATAATATCTTAAACTGGTATATCTAGCTCTTCAAATTCTCGACTTATGCTTAAAAAACCAATTCTCAAAACTGATAATCTGCGATAGTACAAACAAAAAAAAATGTCATGAGATATCGAGAAAAAAGAATGTCTGGTATAGGAGTATATATAAAATGCAACTTTTAAGACACTTTTCTATAGTTTTCGCGATCGGGTCGGGCATAAAAAAAGGCTAAACGAACTGATTTTGATTTTGACAAACAAGTGCCCCAAGTCTCCAAACTTATGTATATACGACATACGATTCATAACATCGGATGCTGCTCGGATAGGCCCGAACGAGGGGGGGGGGGGGGGGGCGGGATTTCGAGCGCTAAGAATATTTGAAGTGTGGCGTAGAGCCGATGACAGACGGCGCAAAATTGATACCAAAAGGTGTTTGAATTGTTGTGATTTCATCATCGCCACTTACGGCATGACAGAAAAGCCAAAAACAAATAACAGCAACAGCAACGGCAACAACAACAAACTTGGAAAAGTGGAATTTTCAAAAATGCTGCGTGTTTTTTTTTTTTTTGTCATTTTGTATAGCGAGCAAAACGGCAATGGCAACAACAACATAATTATGAACGGCCAGGCAACAAAAATAATAATATATAATAAACAACAACAACGACGACGACGACGACGACGACGACGACGACGACAACATTATCGTCACCTAGAGACAATATAATTGTAAATTTAATTTATGCACGCACCTAAATAACAACAAGTCTCAGCATATTTGTATTAAACGCCGTTTTCAGGCTAAACATTTATAGCTAGTTTTCAAGCTGAATTCTTTCTTTAGCATTTGCGCTTTTACACAGGCAGCTGCCAGCAGCTCACCAATACCAACGCACGCGCGCGCGCGCACACACACACACACAGGCATGCACACGCACACATGTGCAGCGACAGCCTAACTGTTGGTATGTTAGCTATTTGTTCTGTTTGTTGTTGTTGTTTTTGGTTTTTCGGTTTTCGGTTTTCGGTTTTCGGTTTTTGGTTTTTGTGCTCATCTGGCCACACGCTATTTGCACGCATATTATTCTTGGGCAAATCAAAAACGCAAATTCGAAATTCATTTCCGTGCCAATGGCAATGCGCGCGGGCGTCTCATATTATTACTATTATGTTTATTATTATTATTATGAATTGTTGTTGTTGTTGTTGCTCTTTAATGGCCAAGTGCATTGCAATTGCCGTATCTGCTTTTGTTTATGGCCAAATGTTTTTGCCAGCACATACACACACACACACACACATAGTTTTTAATGGCCAAATGTATTCGCACACACACACACACACACACATGCTGCTCCTGCTTTGCATGGTTTATAAAAATTGAAGAATTTTGAATGCATTTTGATGCGATACGCAACGTACCGTTCCGGCTCACACAAATGCAGTGCGGCGGGCATCCAATACCACATCTCTCTCCCTCTCTCTCTCTCTCTCTCGCCCTCTCTCTCTTTGTCGATAGCAACACGGTTGGCGGGTGGCGGTTGGTCCCTGCCCCTCCAGCCAGAGCAGACCAAGACTATGTTGATCTATATACTCTATATAGATAAACGTATGTGTGTGTGTGTGTGTGTGTGTGTATTTGTATTTGTGTTTGTATTGTGCCTGTGCCACTGTTCGCGATTTAGTTGGAAACGCGTTTCACGCACTGCGATGCGCCGCCTGCAACTGACAGGCGCGCGCTTTGCGTTTTGGCCAGTTGCAACATTGTTGTCGTTTTCTTTTTTTTTTTTCATTTTAATTTTTTTAATTTTTTTTTTTTTTTTGTGTTTTTTTGGTTTGGTTTGCTTACAAATTTTAATGCGAAAATGGCAAATATTATGAAAAGTCGCCCGCCCGGCCGCCCGGGCATGGCCAAAACCGTTTTGCTCACTCGCTTGTCAATTTGATTGCCGCCGTTGCCGTTGTCGTTGTCGCTGTCGCTGCCGCTTTGAACATTGATTATGCTAGGTGTTTGGCACTGATGTTTTTCGTATACCCTACACCCAACTGCCAGTGGGTATATCGCCTGGCCTGCAAAGTTGTCTTAAAGTACGCAGCCAGACATCTGTCTATCTGGGAATCCCATTTGGACTCTCGCTTAGCTAAACAAATTCATTAAGGGTCTACCCGAAATCGATATATATCGATGCTAGCATTCGATTTGTGAGCATATCTCGAAAATTAGTGGGTATATCGCCTTGCATACATATTCTCCAGCCAGACATCTGTCTATCTGGGAATCCCATTTGGACTCTCGCTTAGCTAAACAAATTCATTAAGGGTCTACCCGAAATCGATATATATCGATGCTAGTATTCGATTTGTGAGCATATCTCGAAAATTAGCAGAGCACAGATAAATTCCGATCCAAATTAAATGATATTTAGCTCTGAATTTTGGACATAATTAATGTATATGCATTTAAGTGAAAGCGTATCGATTACAGGGTATCTGCTAGCTGGTCAACCACGCTTGCTTGTTTTGTTTTTGCTTAATTTGTAAATCTTAAGTGAACAAATCTGAGCGCTCATTCAGTTTACGACAATTAATTGAACACCAGTTGCAATTCGCGTCTCGTCTTGTGCTGTCCATGTGTGTGTGTGCGTGTGTGTGTCCATGTGTGTGTGTGTGTGTGCGTGTGAAGGTTTATTTAACGTGACGTGTACCCTGTAAGGGTTAGCACACTGGATATATGCGACTCCTGACAGATATCTGTTGCCTTTGGGCAACAGCTGAGCGGGCGCAACATTCCCACTTGGTTTGGCAAAAGGAAGCAACAATTTCTCGACGGGCACAGCAGCCGTTGGGTGCTCTGCCCCTAACTTGGGTGTAAATCACGGCCAACACGATGCTCCCACAAAAGGAGCCAGCCTAGGCTGAAGCCTACTGATCAGAACTGATCAGAACTGAATCTGATCGACTCGTAGCCTAATCGTAGCCTACTCTTCCCAGTTTTGACCAGGGATTGGATGTGCTTCCCAGTTTTGGCCAGGGATTAGATGTGCCTGGACTGTTACTCACCGACGCCGCCTTTCCACATCCATGCTAAACGTCCTGTCGTCTTCGGCTGCGTCCTTTTGCCAGCCAACTTCAGCATGCAATTGGGTTATATATAACGCTCTGCCGCTCTCTCCCCGTTCTCGCCTGCCCTCCTCTCCTGCCGTACGGCTATGATGCTCTGGAAGTTAGCAGCGCTGTGGGGTATATTCATGCAATATGGCATTAGTATATGTTGCTGTTGTTGTTGTTGGTTGGTTGGTAGACAAAAACGAATGCGCAATACTCTGTTCACAGTGCCGAAATGGGCAATTTGCTTGATTCGCCCAATCACCAGACAGTGCATTTAAAACTGTAACCCATTTGTGGGTTCCACTTCACAGTGGGAAATGTTTAACAAATTATCTGATGTGAGGAGCATGAGCTGCATTTTTCGAGTCTATAACAAAAAGTCTTGTGCTCTTGTGCTCAAAAGAACAAAAATGCCTAAAGTATTTTGGTACAAGCCAATATATACTCCAAGCAGCTTGTGAACAGGGTATTAAATTAGCCAAGTGTCGACTCGGCTTACCTGCTGCCGCTGCTGTGCGCCTCCAAAAAGCTGCTGGAGTATAATTTTTTTTGGCGCTGCAAAAATAAGGCAAGGCCACAGATGAATACAAATTGTTGGTGTCTTGGATTGTTTTAATTAGCTTACCTGCAGACGTTGCCCAGCGGGCACAGGAACAACTGTTGTTCTTGTTGTTGTTGTCGTTGTTGTTGTTGTTGTTGTTGGTGGTGGCAGCTGATGAGGTCACTGGCGGCGTGTGAGAACCACTTGAGGATTCAAATGGTCTGTGTGAAAAGCCGTAGATAAATGCCTAAGCGACAGCAGGCCGTCAACGTCGGTCGCCAACGCCACATACGGGCGGTCGGTCGGTCGGGCAGCGCACACTTATGTATTCAATGTTTAATATAGCAAATGTGTCCAGGTAAATGATATGCAGCCCTTTGTTGGCTCTTTAAACTGGCACCAAATTTGTATAGTTACTTCAACGATTTCGATATTTTGTTAATTTTGTGTATTTAATTTTTTTCTCTTCGACTTTTTGGCAGCAAGTTTTGGCGAAACAAGAAGCAGCAGCAACAGCAACAGCAGCAGCAGCGACAGCGACAGCGACAGCAGCAGCAGCAATGTCGTTGTGTTTGTAAACATGCAATGTGTGGCACATCGATTGCTGTGTGCGCTGCGCGCATTCAACAGTTGCAATTGTGTTTTTGTTTTTTTGTTTTCTGTTTTGTTTGCTCTTAGCTGCACGTAGCCGAACACTTGGTAAAACGTTCTTTTTTGTTTTGAGGATTTTTACAGGAGACACAGAGCCCAAATCCAAATGGCAGCGTCACAGCAAATTGTTCACCTATTTACGATCACACTAAATTTTGCCCACAAAATATACCAAATGGGCATTTGGTGGCAACAAACGGTCACATGCATGTTTTTTGGTATTTTACCAGTTGCACTAGTCTTAATAATTCAAGTCTCTGATCGTGTGGTATTTTTTTGTTGTTATTGAAATTACTTGTTTTGGTTTGCATTACACTTAATTATTTGTTTAAAATTGAACTACAGTAAAATATAGAAATTTTGTAGCCACTAAATTGTATGCATTTGTTCAGAATAAACATTGCCTAAATATATATCGCACGCAGCAATCGAATAAGAAATCGATAATTCAGAAAGCAGCCCTTTAAGTGCCTTCAATGCCGATATTTTTTTCAACTATATGCTCGCCATTGTATTTTGCTGATTTGGAAATTCGGTCACACTGCTACATTGATCGACAACTCAAACATTATTTAAACAGTTTGGCGCCAAATATTCTGTTGCCAATTCAGCATTACGTTTTATATAATTTCAAACAGGTTCTATGGATAATATACTGCATGCAGCCGGTAAGGTAATCACTACTGTATTTGGACATGTAAACGCAATAATAAGGATGTTGACCATTTTTAAAAAGGCTTAACACAAAATTCCAATTAAGCTCACAAACACTACTTTTTATGAGATTTTTGTATTGTGAACATTTAAAAGATGCAAAATACTTAAATTGTGACGTCAGCGAAACGACAGTATATTTACTGATGTAATCTTCTAGCCAATATGTATTATATGCATGTATGGGTTTGTGTGCTACAAGTATAGCAGAGCAAAAAATAGGCAGCGGCACATTGGTAAACACTCGGTAAACATTCGGCTTTTGTCGGCATGAAAACCTGATTCGGCTTGTGTGTGTGTGTGTGTGGGGGGGGGGGGGGGGGCAGCAGGTTAATGGGTGGCACACACACTCACACGCGCAGATGGGTGCATATGCCAGCAAAGGGCTGTCCAGGCGATCGGCGCTTGTGTGAGTGCAGAGCGCAAACGGATAGATAGATAGCTAGAGAGAGAGAGAGAGGGAGAGAGTGAGTGCAGTATTTGTTTGGTATTTAGTGCTAGAAAACGACAAAAACAAGCAATTACTGTGCTGTGTGTAAGCATATGCTCAGTTAACCGTTATAAAGCAGGCAACGGCAACGGCAGCGGCAGCGGCAGCAACAGTCAGAGCCCAGAGTCAGAGTCAGTGTCAGTTGTGTCAGCCAGTCGTTAAACGCGTCTCGTTAGCGGTGGACATAGAATTTGCAGCGCGCGCCTTTCAGTTTTGCATGCTACACACATCAAAAATCAAATACATACTAGATCCGATTTGTTAACTAGCTGTACATGTGTGTGTATATGTTTTAAATTTAAAACGAAACGCGCGCGGTTCTCACATAAAAAGTACATATAAATATAGATACATATAGATAAATAAGAACAAGTATATATGTATGTATGTATGTATATACATATGTGCCTATAAGTAGCATATAGAATATAGATCTATGCATATTTTTTGTCTTGTTTTTTTGTGACAATCGCGACGACAAGATCGTTTGTCGCAGTTTGTGAGATTCCTATAAAAGTGTATTTCAATTATTTTTTTTTTTTTGGTCTTTTTTTTTCTATATGAAATAGTTTGCAGGCTTAAGTCCTACTTAAGAAAACGAGTACAAATAACAATATCGAGAACAAAATGGTCGAGACCGTCGTCACCGTCGAGCGCACAACAACAGCAACAACAACTGGCCCACCTGGCGGCAATCCGTCCGCCGGCGATAATGGCGGCTTCTGGAGCGCGATACGCATCAATATGGACTATTACAGAACGGCGCCGGGCATTATAAAGATTGTCCAATTCGTAAGTACCATCTATCGCACGCCAGATGGCGCTCAAAACAGTCGCCTGGAAACAGTCGAAAATTATGATATGCCCCCCCCCCCCCCCTCTCTCTCTCTCTCTCTCACACTCTACCCAGCACCATACCCTTTCCAAGAGCTTATCAGGCATATATAGAGTCGAAATGATATGCTGTGTAAATTGAACTTTTATCTATAGATTTCTCAACGCCTTTTGTCAATTAATGCACATTTCATGCCACCTGGCCGCCATTATGTTTTATACCCTGTAAATGTTAGGAGTCCGTTAAAAATCGGGTATGTAAGATTGCAAGTTCTAAGTAGACACAATTGTAAACCGAGCGAAAATCGAGTTTATTTCACATTATCGATGGCATCTTGCGCTCCTTCCAAATCGATAGATATCGTTTTCCAACACTTCCCTTTGCGCGCTTATAAAGGACTTCAAATGTAGCATTAAGAATTTCGTATACCACGCGTTCGTGTTACTCGAAACGCTCCAAAATCGATAAGTATCGATTTTTAGATGCAGTTTTTCTTGAGCATAACTGGAAAATTAATTTAAAAAAAATTCTCTAGGGGAATTATTTATGATTTTTGGCACTCACTTGAATCTCAGGCCAGCCGACGCATATGTACAGGGTATTTGCCGGGTCGGGCATGCGTTTCTCTCTCTTGAGCAGCTATCTATAAGTTACGTGTGTGTGTGTGTGTGTGTGTCAGGATCTCATTAGACGGATAAGATAGGCCCCGTCGCCCATGTGGCCAACAATTCGATGTCGATCGACTTTTGCCAGCCAGAAATCGATGGCTTATACAATATATATATATATATATATATATATCAGATATATCAGATATATCAGATAATGTACGACAGCTGAGAATCGCGGGATTTACAATTTAACAGTGAAAAACTTACAAATTTCGAACAGCTGTTCGATTTCACAGCAAATATATATATACTATATATATATGTGTGTGTGTGTGTGTGTGTGAGCCCAACTCTGGGCGCGTGGGAAGCCGCCAACAGTTGGCCATGCAAATGGCCACAACCCACAATAACCACATGGACTGGGCCAACTGCAGCCATCAATAGCCGACTATATATATCATAATACATATATATATATCATGTAAATACATGTAGTTGTGTGCTTGGGTGTAGTAAATACACTGCACAAAACTTTGATTTCAATTGATAACAATTACAATATTGATTTTCAATTAAAACCGCGCGGAATCCATCTAAAATTGAAGCCAATGTTTTCTTTCTTCTATTTCCAACTGAAAATCCGAATGCGAATTTATTTATAAACAAAAAAAAAACACACACAAGTTAAAAAAAGTGCTGAGAAAAAGCGTTGATCTAATCTTCTTCTACTGGTCATCGAACCGGGGGTCAAGCGTTTGCCAGGCGAGCTTCTAGTCACGAGTACCATCGCGGCGCAGAGCCCAGCCTCAACTCAAGCGACTTTTGCAATACCAAATTGAGAAGAGCATTGAAATTGTGGCTGCGCATTTTTTCAATAACAACTCTGAAATTGAATTGAACACCAAAAAAGGGCTTTCAATTTATGGAAAAGAAATTGAGTTCGATATTTTTTGCTGTGTGCATGTCGACCGCCCACAGGTGGCCGCCAACACGCAACAACAAACACGCAACAACAAACACAACAACAACATTTGACACACACACACACACACACACACGCACACAAGATTCCAACAGCAAAGCAAGTACAACAACAGGCATGGAGAAAGCTGCGCTGGGCAAAGATCAGGCGCAGATTGTGTTTGTGGCAAGCCCAACTGCCACACACACACACACACACACACACACAGCGACAAGGACACAGCAGATTAATAATGCAAACGGTATGCGGCCATTATTGGGCACAAATTGTGGCCAGAAAATCAATAAGCTTCATTTGGAGACAAACAAATTATATCATTACACTAATCGCTACGATTAACCCTGCAATTGCCTGTCAATTGTGCACGCCCTCTCTATGCGCTTCTCAAATGTCGAAAACATGTCGCAACTGTACTTCTGTTGAAGCCATTTAAATGCATGTGTTGTGTTGAAAACAAGCCAAACAGACTGCGTCTTCAGCATTAAATGCATATTTGTTTTTGTTTTTGTACAACGTTAATCTTATCTATTTCTTTTTTCTTTTCGACAACTGATAGTCAGTTTATACTCAAAGAGAAAAGACTCGAGTACACAAAAATGTTAAGTTCAAAATGGCCATAAATATAAGCTAGTAAAACCTTTTTGAGAAATTAACATGTTTAAATTTAAGCATTTGTATTCGAGTAATCGCATGTACTCTACAATCATATATGTTGATTATAATACACAATTTACACAACATGTTCATAATTGATGGGTTTTTTTTTAAATTATTGTTTAATAAGAGAGAACAGCAACAAATAGATAAAGATAATGCCATCTAATTTCTGAAAGCTGCAATTCTCTCCATTGCGAGAATATGCGATTATGTTTGAATGGGATAGTTTTCCTATATAAGAAAGACAAGAACTGGAACCTTGGGTATCCATACAAAAATATCGACTGGTTCGGTTCACGGTCCTAAACAGGCTTTTCAAAATTGTGATTCAGTTCAGTCTTCAGGTTCTTCTGTTCTTTATCAAAATAAACCAGTTCCATTTTCAATTTGGAATCCCGGACTCGAACCGGTTCGTTTTAAAATCGTTTAACAGTCTTGATTATTAAAAGTATGATATTGCCATTATGATGGGAATGTCTATTAGGTTAACTAAGCTAATCGAGTTGATAGCGCGCCAGAGATAACAATTAGCTAATAATCCTGGCCGGTCGCAGCTGCTGCTGGTCACATGATTCATAGCGACACGTCGCATTACTCATACGCACCGATATCGGATCGATAATGGACGTCGACCAGGCCCCGGGCCAGATAAGGCCAGACTGTCCGCCTTTTTAACCAGCTGGTCGAGGCCAAGTGTTCGTCCTTAACCAGGGACGACGCAGGCATTACTCATACGATCCGTGGTCGAGCGGTACATTTTTCTTGTTCATTTTCTCTTTTTTTGGTTCTATTCTATTTTCGTGAATCTTATCGACCATCAAACAAATAAACTGGCTGACAAACAAAACGATAGCCCGCCAAGACGCACCAGCTGGCCGTCCGTCGTATCAGCGGACTATGGCTATAGAGCGCTATATAGCGATAAGATTGCAATATGCGTGCCAGTTCCACTTCCAGTTACAGTTCCAGTTCCAGTTCCAGTTCCAGCTAAACCAAAGTAACGGAAACTCTGGCTATTTATGTTGGTCAAACATTTGGGCAGCGTGTTGACAAACCTGTTGTTGTCGAATCGTGTACACACACACACACGCACACACACACACGCACACGCACACATATACAGCTATTTATGTCGTGCCAGGGTCGTGTGTAAGAATAATCTACATATATATGGTTGGATCGTGTCTGTAGCGCATATTTAACCAATCTACATATATGCAAATTTGAACGAGGATGGGCAGAACGTACGATAAGAACCGAAAATTGTGCCGTCGCGATCCACGATTTATTTGACTATTTCGAAATATTTTAATAGCCATTACGTAAGATATTGCATATACGCATACATATACATATATGCATGTATGTATGTATGTATGCATATGATATATTTTGGAAGCTGTGCCGGCGGCGGCCAAGCATGTTTGCCTGTCTATTTAATACATTGTTATAGTTTGTTGCGGCCCAAAACGGAAATTATGACACACATTTGTTTTTTTTTTTGCTGGCACACAAAAATCTCAAGAATTTTTTGACCAAAGGCGTTTGGCGCAGCCGGGTTACTATAAAAAAGGCGAGCACAAAGCGTTTCGATTCAAAATATGCAAAATGGTGTTTTTTTTTTATGGGTTAGGTTCGAGCTCATTTAAATGAACGTTGACTAAGTACAAACGCCCAAGTGAGCTCATCTTAAAGTTCGCATTGACACTCTGTCATAAACAATTACGTTTGCTTTTATTTGTTTGTTAGCTCAGTCAACACACACACATAGGCAAAGCACACAATTCGGTTTGTTTATTTACACGCTGTCCGATGACGTCACACTTGCACGACGAGCGCAAGTGTGGAAGCTGCACTATTTGGCGTGCTATCGTTATCGTGCTGCCATTGAACTTCAAAGGCAAAGACCGACACTGATCCTGCGCCCCATGTAGATGTTGCCATATGATTGCATTTCATCGATATGTTAGCAAATGGCAGCCTTGCTGTCATGCGCCATCGATCAGGCGAGTATGCACACATATGCATACACATGTACCTTTGTGTATATGTGTGTGTGGTGAGATTCTATTCGATTTTCATGCTTCACAAGGCAATTTAAACATTTATGATATACCATACCCAGCGAACGAATCAAATTATACACGATCGAATCACATGAATTTGATTGTCTGGGCATAATTTTCTCTTGCTTATGCTCAAATAGACAATCATTTACTATATACATACATATGTATATATTGTGGACTGTGATTGCTATATATTAAAACCAAATACATATGTATGTAATTGCTCACCATATCCATAAATAAATTTCAAATGTTGAACATTTCGCGTTTCATCTTTATATTTCAAATGGGCTGGTGCATATTTTTGTGAATGAGCTTCTAAGCCGAGTTGTCTACTTCTGTTGAAAATACATATGTATGTATATGTTTAAGGTCAAGTGCAGGCTGCAACCACACTGCGGTTCAATCAACATTGCGCGCCAGGGGGCGCTTTTACTTCACGCAATCATAAGTTCGCACACACACACACACACAAAACTATTAAGTGTGTGTGTGTGTGTGTTTGAGCAGCTCAAAGCAACAAAAACACATGCGAAAGACAAACAATAACATAAACAAGAACCAGTTGACTTCAGTCGCTGCTGCTGCTGCTGCTGTTGCTGTTGTTATTGCCAGCAGGTCGCCTTTGGCTTTGGCAATGTCTGCAACTTTCAGCTTTCACTTTTTTCTTGCCTTTTGTTTTAAGCGAGCACACACAGAAAGCTGTACCTGCACCTGTACGATTGCCGCCTAATGCTTATTGCTATTTAATTGTGGGCAAAAACAAATCTGAAACTCAAAATGGGCATGTCATCGAAATCTGTGCCATCGGCGCCCACACACGTACAGACACACGTACACGGACTGACCGTCAAAGTGCAGCGTTGCCATTGCCAAGTCGCTGCGTACTTTTTTTTTTTATACTCGAATCACAAAGTGAAAACGGGCATATTGGTTTTGTGCACTGCTCGCGTCCATCTGTCCGCATAAAGGCAAATATCCCAAAGAGAGACTCGTATGTATCCAAGTTAAAGTGTTAAAAAAAACGGTTTGGCAAGCGCGAAATTCTATATCTACCGAGTGTGAACCAAATATATGTATGTAAGTAGAGGCTACGGCCACATCAAGAGTATTTCGCAGTCGGTTGCAAAGTTCTCACTTGTTATTATGTTCAAATTTTGCAGGTTCTCAGCTCAACGATTTAGTAATTTTGTATTTATGTGTATATGCAAGAGGCAATTAACTGGTTGCCATTGTATTCAATTGCTTAAAGTGACATCATGTCACCAAAAAAAAAAAAAAAGAAAAAAACAATATTTAATGCCAATTGAGATCAAGAAATTTGCTTGTCTACTAAATATGCATATTTATGAATTATTTGAATTTGAATTTGATCTTATTTCAGATATTGGGCATCATTTGCATGGCGCTTGCCTCACCTGCACAAGCGGCTGCAACAAGTTTCTTCCTCTTTGTTGTTGTCATCTCTTTCATTATTACCATCCTGCTGATAGCCGCCTATTTTCTGGGCATACGCGAGGCGCTCAATGTGGCCGTCAATTGGATATTCTCTGTGAGTATTTTCGAGTTACCTGGTCATACTGCAGCTAAACCAAGCTTACTTCTCGCTCTCTCTCTCTCTCTCTCTCACACACAGGAACTGCTAACGACCGCTGTGCTGACACTGCTCTACTTCATTGCATTCATTGTGCAGCTGGCCAGATGGGCCGAATCGAACACTTATGGCCATGGCTCCAATACGGCGGCTGGCGTTTTTGGACTGTTCAATTTCTTGGCCTATGCGGCGGGCACATACTTCTTATTCCTGGCGCACAGATCGGGCGCCACCCATTAACGTCCATTTGCAGCATAGCCGAGCAGCGATCTGATCTGATCTGATCTGATTCGATATACAATGGAACCAATTTAATAGTCATGCGCACACAAGATAAATCAAAAATAAAAAAAAATAAAAAGGCAAGCAGCGCACCCACCACGAAAGCCAACGTAGGGTAGTTTATGATTTAAGTGCAATTTGTGCAATTGTTCGGAAAGTTGTTTTGTTGTTTTTTCCTTTTCTGCTCATTTACATCTAACGGCAACAACGATTGTGAACAAGCTCAATTGAAAGTTCGTTCAGTTTAGTTTAGTTCTGGTTCAGTTCGGCGCTTTCTCGGTACGCTCAGCGTGTGCGGCTTGATTTGTTTTTAATGTTATTTTAATACTTACTTTAACTTTAACGCCTGCTAACATTTAAGTTCAATAAACACAAGGCAACAAAAAAATACAAAAAATAAGTTCAATAAATTATTCGTATTTTGTAACTGTACAAAAATTGGCTCTTCTTATTTGCTTATTCGCTGCTGATGGGGGGCAACTTGACTAATATGTTTGCAGTCTTAGCCATGTCAAACACTCTCCTCAACACATTCCACAACAATCAACTGCGCAATTTTCGATCAGTTTTAATAAATGAATGCAACTTGACTAATGTTGATCAGCAAATAGCAAAAACTGTTCGATTAACATAGATATATTGCGCAGTTTATAGTACATTTATTTCACTTAAAATATTAATACAGCCAAAAAAAATACTTCAGCTAAAAAAAAAAAAAATTGTAATTATTTGTTTTAAATAAATCGAGTATTTGCAGCCAACAAATTTGAGCAAATTCTTTCTAACGGCAGCTGGTTGGCAACTTGACTAACAATGTGTACGCACAGCAGTACGTAGCAGAGTTCCACAACCGGGCGAAAACTTCAGATAAAGAGAACAAGGAAAATTAGCTGCGCAGTTATTGAGTTAATTTTAATATCCTTCATTACACTGTCAATTTATGGTAAATTTCTGAAATAGCCACAAAAAAAAAAAGAAAAAGAAAACAAGGCCAAAATCACATTGATCCACTGTAGAGGGGTGTTGTAGGGTAACAGTTCATGCAGATGCATTTCGATAAGCGATTGGCAAATTCTGATCTCGATAATTCCATTGTTTTTTGGGTCTATTTAATGATGATGATGATGGGCTATTTCCAGAACATCCACGGCGTGGGACAGGGGCCGGAGGGGGGTGGGGTGTGGGGGTGGCGGGGGGCGGGGGGCGGATAATTTAAACGTACTTCTTAAATTCATCATAAATAGCGAGGACGAGGGCGCCGCCAGTGCCGCGAATGACATTGGAAAAGGCGCCCTTGAAAAAGGCAGCGAGGCCCTCCTGCTTGGCAATCACCACCCAGCAGTGGGCGGTATTTTTATAGACCATTTCCGATTTCTTCAGGCCCGACTGCATCATCATGCGACGACGGACCGTATCAAACGGATAGGATGCAATGCCAGCAATGGTAGTCACCACCTGGGCAATGCCCCAGCTAACGTAGAAGGGTGTATTCTTTGGATTTGGCAAGTGGTCGCGACACGTATCGTAGAATCCAAAGTATGCGGCACGATAGATAACGATGCCCTGCACGGACACAATAAAGCCGCGATACAGTCCAATCAGTCCATCCGATTTCACCACCTTTCGGAGGCAGTCGATCAGTCCATTGAACTCGCGCTGCCCTCCCTTGCCCACATCTGCAGCCAAACTGAAAGTGCGAACACGATGGACATATATTACGAGATGATTATAAAATATACATATGTACATATGTAGATAATATACCAAAAGGCGGTATTTGCTCTATTTTTTGCTTACAAATAATTTAGCCAAGTGGCAACCTTGGCAATAGTTTAGCCATTGATTTGAATTCAATTAAAGTCACAAAACTTACCGAGTACGAGCAAAGTCCAGCGGATAGACAAAACACAAAGATGTGGCGCCGGCAGCGCCACCAGAAGCCAAATTGCCCATGAAGTGGCGCCAAAATTGTTTCTTTTTATCGACGCCACCTAAAAATACCTGAAAATCGAAACAAAACGAAAAGCACATAAAAACGACAGTTTGGTATTTTTCTTGGTGCGCCACAACCTCACTCACTCACTCACTCACACACACACACACACTCACTCACCGACTTGTACACATCCTTGAAGGCAAAGTTGAGAGCCTGTGTTGGAAAATAACGTATCACATTGGCCAAGTTGCCGCGCCATAATGATGCAAATCCCTGTTCGCGTGGTATGCGCACAAAACAATCTATAATACCCTTGTAGCGCTGATCCTGTGCTATCTGTTTGGATACCTCCTGCACCTGGAGAATCAGTTTGACGCGCTCGATGGGCGCCACCGCGGTCTTGGCAATGGCGGCCGATACGCCGCCCATCATGAAATCAATTAAGAAGGACTTGAGATCGCCCCCAGCTCTCATGCCGCCACCTTCATCGCCCATCTTGTCGAGTTACTTGTGTTTAACACTTCAGTTGTGGGTTTCTTCTCTTCTCTTCTTCGATTCGGAATCCTCTAATTGGCCTTTTGATTTGATTGATTGTTGTCAATTGTTTGTTTCAACTAATTCTTCTCTTCTCTTCTCTTCTCTCTTGTGAGTTGCGTTTTCCGTTTATTCTGCGCTAGCTTTATAGTTTCCGAAGGATATTCAAGTCAGAAGAAAATAACATGTTAAAATAATTGAAGTTTTTTGCCGAAAAATTTGGGTTTGTTGTAAAACCAGCTATGTCTGACATGAAATAATTTTGAATTGAACATAAAACCATGACGTCCAATTGCGAGACTACTTGGATTTTCATTTGTTTTTCCATTTCAATTGCGTTAAAACTCGATTCCTGGGAACAAAACATACCTGGCATAATATGTCAGTTTTGCATAATAAGTTTTGTGCCAGAAACTTTGGCTAACAAGTTTTCAAGATGAATTGGCGAGAATCATTTGCATTCGTATTCAATATCCACCTCGAGGTGAGTTTGCTAGCGGAAATACAGTTTCAATCGGTTCAATCGGACGAATATGCACTGAAGAAAATTGCAAAAAAGCTCTCTCTCTTCTGCCAGGGGAACGTTTAAGAAAGCGGATGGGAGAGGGAGAGGGAGAGAAAGAGAGAGAGAGAGAGAGAGAGAGAGAGCGAGTTGGTTGTCAAAGTAAAACACAATTTGTCTACTATTTTTATCAATTTTTATATTTTTAACCAACCGCAGGTTGATTTTTTGTTGGTTTGTTGTTACAGCAGAGGCTAAAGAAATTGTTGTTCGTATATTTCTTTTGTATTGGGGGCACTCTCTTTTTCCGTTTCAATAACAACATGCACGCGATTGGCAAAAGGGGCGTGGTGGGCGTTGTTGCTAGGCGAAACAGAGCCGAGCCAAACAGCCGCGCTCAGCCACACAATCACCTGTCGAACTTAACAAGAATACTAGCTTATAAATAATATATATGTCTAGAATGTTCGTCTGATTTTGTTGTTTTAGTTTCTCCTGCTCCTGCTCCTGCTGTGTGTGTGTGTGTGTGTGTGTGTGTGTGGGGTGTGTGTGTTTTGTTTGTGGGTTCAAGTTTGGTTGTGTTGCCGTCGCTCCGTGTTCCGCCAATATCCAGCTACAGCTCCTTTTGCTCATCATCATCATCTTCTTCTTGTTGTTGTTGTTGTTGTTGTTTTCTGGCCATCCTTGATGTTCTTCAAGTGTTCTTTTTGCTATTTATGCAAGTGCAATTAAATTATATTCCAGTTATTATATATAATATAATTTGTTAATTATATCGGGGATTATTGTTGATGTTTCTCGCTGTTCTTTGTGGTTTTTGTTTTTTTTTTCGCTAGTTTCCTTTGTTGTTGTTACAATTTATATAATATAATTAGCTGGTAGTGGTTTGTTGTTGTTGTTGTTGTTTGTTGTTGTTGTTTGTTGTTTTGAATAATTTAATAATTTAATTTACAAGTACTTCTTGATTTCATCGTACAACACAAGCACGAAAGCGCCGCCAGTGCCTCTGAGAACGTTGGAGAAGGCGCCCTTGAAGAAGGCACCGGTGCCTTCCTGCTTGGCAATGGTGGCCCAGCAGTGAATTGTGTTCTTGTAGATGATTTCGGTGGACTTGCGGCCAGACTGCATCATCATGCGACGACGGACAGTATCGAATGGATAGGACACAATACCAGCAACAGTTGTAACAGCCTGAGCGATGGCCCAGCTAATGTAAATGGGTGTGTTCTTGGGATCGGGCAACATGCCGCGGGCAGTATCGTAGAAGCCAAAGTATGCAGCACGATAGATGATGATGCCCTGGACAGAGACGCCGAAGCCGCGGTACAAGCCACCAATACCGTCACTCTTGAAGATCTTGGTCAAGCAGTTGCCCAGGCCGGTGAATTCACGAGCGCCACCCTTGCCAGTATCAGCAGCCAAGCTAAAAGTAAAACCCCCAATTATAGTTTCGTTTCTTACTTGTTATTATTATTATTATTGTGCCACTTACCGAGTACGAGCGAAATCCAATGGGTAGACAAAGCACAGAGAGGTTGCACCAGCGGCACCACCGGAGGCCAGGTTGCCCATGAAGTAACGCCAGAACTGGGTGTTCTTGTCAACGCCACCCAAGAAGACCTACAATAGACCCAAGTTAGAGAATCGTCTGCCGTCTGCTTTAAATGGGAATGGTAATGGTGATGCTTACCTGCTTGTACTTGTCCTTGAAGGCAAAGTTCAGAGCCTGAGTTGGGAAATATCTAATAACGTTGGCCAAGTTACCGCGCCAGTATGAAGCAAAACCTTGTTCCTTTGGAATGCGGATAAAGCAATCAACCATACCCTTGTATTGCTGATCGGGGGTGATTTGTTTCGAGATGTGCTGAACCTGCAGCAGCAGTTTCACACGCTCGATGGGTGCGACGGCAGTCTTTGAGACAGCTGCGGAGATGCCACCGGCAGCGAAGTCCTTGGCGAAGCCAATAGCATCGAAATCCTTGCCCATTTTGCTATAAACACACACACGCAAGTGCCAAGTAAAATGATTACAAAAATTGTCTTCTCCTCCTCCTACTCCTTCTCCACCTCCACCACCTCCAAGCATCATCAAACATATTCTTCTGCCATCGCAGCTCAGTCAGTCAGTTGTCAGTTTGTGAGGTTAATGATTGTGATTTTGCATTCTTGATAATCGTTTGCATTGTTTGTATGAGCACATTTCACTTTTAGACACAATTTTACAATATTTACAACAAATTGATAGACACCAAAACCAAATGAAAATATTTATAACGTGCATGAATGAAATTTAAAACGGCAACGGAAAGCGCCCAACTTAACGAGAGCAATCGATACCGCGCGACAACCAATCGATTATCGATGCCACCCTCAATCGTATCGAGTACTTTTGAGGCAGTTGGTCAATCGAATGGCCAACCAAGGTTCGATGAGCTCCGTAAGTCGCGGCTACTTTGCGCTGCGTTTTGTGCAGATGCAACACAAAATGAGGTTAAATGATTAAGTAGTTAAACTAGATTAAACTAGCTAAGCATGCAAATGATGAAGTTGGTTAATAAACAAAATATATGTACATATGTATATGTAAGTTAAATAAAGTAAGACCGGCAGCAAGCCGGCATTATAGGGCAGAGTTTTTTTTAGACTATGGACAATTGTTTTTTTTTTCTTTGCTGTCGTCTGCGAAATCAGCAATTAAAATTGATATGTATATAAATGTGTATGTGTGTGTGTATGTTAATTTCAAGCATTGATATGTATGTGTGTGTGTGTGTGTATATATATGTTAATTTAAACACAAAAGTGCGCTTGGCAACGTTCGTTGTTGTCAGGCGGCTTCGCAATTGTTTGTGTAATTGTATTGGTGCGCTTATTGTTTATACGAGCACATGCATGTGATGGTGTTAGTAAAAACAGCGATCGAAGTTTGCGGGATTTTTTTTGTTTTTTTTTTTTTTTTTATGTATTTCTGCTTATGAATCAGTTTTGTAACCGCCAACTGCCACGTTTATGCATTTAGGCACCCAACGGTTTGAGCTTTCTTAAGACCGGCAATAATAGATTAACGCTCAGTCTCAATTAAGAGCAAATTGAGAACATGGCAATGAGAACATGTACAGGTAGATGAGTGTGCACACATTGCATAATTTATTCGCTTGTATAACATGGTGATAGATGGCGCTTTCAAGTCTATTGAAATGCCAAGAGCACAGCAGCTTGCCAATTGGTGTAAGGGGGATGGCTAGCTACAGAAAAAAGTATGGCCAATGTTCTTGCAGCTGACATTGACCAAAGTGTCGGAGCAAAAAAAGAGCGAGAGAGCGCTTTCTTTTCGTTCTGTTGTGTTGTTAAATTTAGATTTCAAGTGTAGCATAGCCAAATTTATTCATTGTTATTGGTTATTGTTGCCTTAAATGTGGCACAAAATTAAATTAGCAGCCACCGGCAGACCAAGTCTAGGCCAATTTTCATTGACGAAAACCGCATTTATGTAATCACTTTGCACAGCAAGAGCGGCTGGTCATTTAAGAGAGAGGGCGAGCGTGCAAGAGAATTCTATTGATGGGAGAGTTGTGGGTGCGCTGAGGGCAGACGCAAACAACTGTAAAAAGCGTTGGCCTGTTATCTAATCTCCAAAGTACGGCTGATTGAAAGAGCTTTTGCAAAGAGCACGCGCGACTGTGATGTAACAGTTCAACGGGCAAAATATATATATATATACATATATATAATAATAATAATCAGCAGCAAGGGAAAATAAGAGCTAGACGAAGTTGCACGTGTAACGGCTTTTGTTATATGGTGTATTGCTTATCGGTTTGCACTTGCTTGTAAAAAAAAAAAAAACAGGGCAGACGCCCTTTAATGTCGATTGCATAACTGCCTTTATCACCAGAAGAAAAAAAAGTTGAAAATTGTTTAACTACATAATTGATATTCAATTGTAAACACCAGACGCTGCATTTGTTATTAAACAACTTTTCAATCGGTTAATGCTTTTGCACATTTATGTAACGTTTTAAAAAAAATTTCTTTTATTCCAAGCAACGAAAACAAAAATTAAAAAAAATTAAACACCAATGCTTGCTGCTTTCTTTCAATTATTATTGCTGCTGTTCAGTTATTGTTATTGATGTTGAATCAATTGATATTGTTAGGCACTTTAAATGCAATTAATTTGTAATACGTACAATTTGTTTGTGTTTAAATATCACAGCACCGAAAAAAAATTATTTATCCTTTATTCCTTGCGAAATCAAAGGTCTGCACCGGACGGCAACTAAATTGCTTGTGAACGCTTCGTACAGCAGAGGCGGCGAGCTAGCCTGTGCTGCGCTGCGTCGGTCAGCTGCTGCCTCTGCTGGCAGAGGCAGAGTCAAGTTCAGGTGCTCACGCGTCGCAGTCGCAACGCAACAGTTGCGTGAGAGCGAGCGAGCGAGCGAGAGAGAGAGATAGAGAGTGAGGGTCGCATAACGGTAACAAAAGCGTTTAAGCCCAAACTATTAAGAGACAGTTGGCAACAAATGCTAGACAGCTAAAACACGCACACAACGCTTTTGCACGTGTGCGCAAAAGCAGCAAATGATCGAGAACGAGAGAGCAGATCAGAGCCTATCATCTCTTCTATATATACACATATGTATATGGTTTATCAACGCATGTGCCTGGCAGTGACAGCAATGAATTCAATGCCAATTGCGATTGCATAACACTGTTAATCAGTTCACAGGCAGCAGAGTTACGGGCCGGACACTGATAAGAAAAGGAAGTGAGAATAGAGGCATATGGAGATACAAAATAATTGTATTGGCATTATTGTTGGCCAAAAAAATCGAGAAGACAACAATTTAAACAATTGTTTTTCATTTACCCCTTTCGAGGTTTGAAGCGCCTTCACGGCAAAACCGAATGCTTGCCAAAAATGTAAATTTGTACTCAGTTGGCAACGCGCCGACGTCAGCAGCAGCGTTGACGCCCGCGTTCACAGCGTAGCATGTGACTAGTGGAAAATTTGACGCATGTGCTGCGCTCTCTTTGACACTCTCTCGCTCTCGCTGTCTTATGCTCTCTTAAACACTACGAGCAAGTGCGACGTCACAGGGCCTTTTGCAGGCGGAAGGCAACAAAATTGAAATGTGCGTACGGCGATTAGATAAACGCCGCTACGAATACAACCTTTTTATGTAAGCAATTTTCAAGGTCTTTGAAACGCCGACAATTACATAAAAAGTGAACGCTAGATGCGGCCAAATTAATGGCTGTCTGCCGAGCGACAAATGATGATGGCAACGCGCCAAAAATGCAGCGGAGTTAATGTGGCCCAAAACTCAATTGTGGCTATTTTAGGCAAATAAGTTCAAGTGCGCTGGCCCTGCAGTAAAATCAGATTAATGGGCTAAGTACGGCAGCATGTTAATGGGGTTGCCAGACAGGCGTGACGCAATTATTCGCGATCAGCGAACAGCGAAAGGCGAGTTCCAACAATAGAAAGCCAACTTATGCATGAAATTTCCAGAACTTTAACTGCTGACGCATCATCGAGGGCGTCGATTTCTTTTATCGCTCGCCAATTCCAACAGTTGGCAACTGCATAAAGCAACCTTAGAGCATGAAAATTCGCTAATTCGTCAATGTTTGTTTCACAATACCAGACAGGACAGGACGTTTCAACTATGTTATCGATGATTGGCATCGGTTAGAAAACACCAAATGCAAAATGGCGCTAAAAAGGCCACACAAAAGGGCAAAAATAAATACGAAAATCACAAGCGGCATATTTACATTAAGCGTTTGCTTTGCTGACGTCACAAAGAGCAGCAGCAGCAGCAACAGCATCTGGTGCGCTCGGTGATTGTCTCTGCCAAATCAACCGGTTCTGGTTTTTGTAAGCATTGTCAGCCAGGTAAATGTAATGGAACATTTTTTGGGGGTTTGAACACCGACAAAATTAAAGCGGTCATTGGTCAATGGAAGAAGAAATGTGCTCTTAAAGAGACGCGAGAAAATGCAAAAAAAAAAAAATATATACATATATATATAATACACCAACACAGACATATTTATTCGCTGCGATTCTTGCGCGTGTAAACGGCGAAGCGTGCGAGTGAGTGAGAGAGAGAGATGGAGAGACAAGCACATGGAATTCATACGAACGTACATGTATGTATGCGTGTGCCGCTTTTCTAGCCGTAATTGTCACACTTTTAACAATAAAAAAAGAGTGAAAATTTTGCACATATACATGTAAAAAAGTGGGGAATTCAATTAGATTCGTTACAAAAGCAGCTGGCGCAAATTGTACACATGCAAGTGTGTGTGTGTGTGTGTGTGTGTATGTGCGACAGCTTGCTTGTGTGGCACCGTTTTTTTCCTCTGCTTGCTTTCAACTTTTTCTTGCGAAAATTTTTTAAGGTTAGAACTCGTGAGCGTTCTTAGCACATTGCAGGTGTGTGTGGGTGCATTGGAAAAGAGGACACGGACACGGACGATTGTTTTACCTTGTGACTTATATTAGACGCTGCATCATTAGTGTTAAATTTTGCACAGCGTTGCGCTTTCGTCTGCGAATAATTTTGTGGTTATGTAAGCACAATTTATGCATCATTTTTGTTATTTTCATATGAAATTAATTATACATTTTCTAATGGCGCCGTGGTCCATGGCCACAATATACAGTTAGATTCATACACCGCAATATTAAACCAACACCGACACATAAAAAAATAAGCACATTACATAACTAAAAACTAGTGCAAGGTGAACGTGAAGAAAAAAAATCAATGACAAATTTATAATGGATGCACTGTTCGTTATTCTTTTTAGTTGTAGTAGTTCGCAGTAAAAAAAAGAGTTGTATAAAAGAAAAGCACAATACCTTCAGTTATTAAACTTCTTACAAAAGTCACAGAATAAAAACTTCTTTTGCAGAAATAGAATTTCCCACTTGGCGATGAAATAAGCCGCGTGCTCACTTAACGAACGCTATTCGTGAAGTGCTCGTAAAACGTGAGCAGTGTGCTAAACTATCGAGAGATCTTGACAGAAAAAAAATCGGTGTGCCAAGACAGCTATCGATGGTTATATGTGACTATTGCGATATGTTGATTACACTCTGATTGTATGACTTATATAAGGCTAACACGCTCAAAATAATGTATATTATTAAGATTTACATATTAATATGCATTATTATATTAAATTTAAATCATAAATATAGTTATTTCAGCAATATGTAACATGGTTTTAAAGTAAAAGTATCGGCATTATTGAATGGTCACACTATCTTTTCTCGAGTCCAAAATTAACAAATATCGACATACCTAAAGTTTTTGACATTCAGTATATTTTGAGCCCTTGTCAACACTAAATAGAAAAGTTGGGAAAACGTGCGAGTGCGTGACTATTTTGCTACGCTTCCAGAAAAGGAAAATTAATATTTGTGTATTTAATTATAGAAAATGACTGGTCGTGAGGGCGGTAAAAAGAAGCCACTGAAGGCGCCCAAGAAGGAGGGCAAAGAGATGGATGATGAGGATATGGCGTTCAAGCAGAAGCAAAAGGACCAACAAAAGGCGCTCGAAGCAGCCAAACAGCAGGCTTCCAAAAAGGGACCCCTAGTGGGTGGCGGCATTAAGAAGTCGGGCAAGAAATGAACGCAACGCATAAATAACCAATTATTATTTTAAAGAAATTTGTGAAACCATGCACACACAGACACACAGACAGACAGACAGACACCCGAATACACTATGCAAATTGCATTTGCAAAAATTCAGTTTTCGTCTATGTAAATTGACCAAAATTGAGCATTAAGCAGTTTAAACAATTTTTTTCTCGTTTTATACTTACGATTTAACACAAATAGCGCATTAAATATTGTCATAAAAACAACTAATGCCGCATTCATTCATTCTACAATGATCAGGTGCTGAGCTAGAGATGGCCTCGTGTTGCTTTCCCAGCACGACACGAACACGAACTACATTTTGGCACGATTCACCACGAAAATTCCAAATGCTTGATATACAAATATTTGTTTGGTATCGCAAACTAACTCTAGGTGCTTTTATAAATCATTTAGTTTATTATTTTCGGTCCGTTATTTGTTAGTACATTCCGTGTAGGCACTTGGAAAAAGTCTTCCTTCCTTCTCTTAATCATATGGAAAGCTGGACTGTGTGCCCGGCAGCTGCACCGACTTGGAGGCCACTAGGCAGGCGGCTAAAATGTGCGCCGACAGCTTTTTTTCCGGATAACGCGCCAAGTTGTGGGCCAAGGCGCCAATGAAAGCATCCCCGGCGCCAGTTGTGTCCACCACCAGATCGGCGGGCACAATTGGTGCAGGCACCAGCTCGTATGCCATGGGATCGGCCTTTGAGGCGCAAACGGCGCCCAATTTGCCCAGCGTTATGATCACCGTGTTGGCGCCCAGGTCGATGAGGCATTTCAGAGCCGCATTCGCCTCACTGGAAAGCGTTACAAGTTATATAATATGAAATTATAGAGGTTCTTTGGGCTAGCGAAGCTTAAATACCCTTGCAGAGATTTGGCTGAGCATTGTTGATATATAAAAACTGCATTATATTCTCGACTATTCTCGAAGATCGGAGCGGTCCTCTCTGCAAGGGCATTCAACTGACTTAGGGAATTCTTTACTTAATGCTATTGATGCTCTTCACGCCGATGATGAGCGCCGCCTCCGTCTCGTTGACGCAGAGGATGCTCGGCAGCCGCAGCAGTTCCACTGGCAAGTGTGCCATAGCCGGCGCCGCATTTAAAATGGAGATGCCCCGGAACTCGCGTAGAGCGCACAGCGTTGCCTCAATGGGCGTCTCCAGCTGGCAGACGAGCACCTTGGCCTGTGCGAATAGTTGCGATGCGCTTGTCACATCGCTGGGGCTGAGCAAATTGTTGGCGCCCACCACAATGATGATGTTATTCTCGCCGCTAGCGGACACAGCGATTTGGGCAACGCCCGTTGTTTGGCCGGCGATCTGCTGCACATGCTCCACGTTGATGTGCTCAGCGCGCAGCTGGTTCATGTAATTCGTGCCGAAGCTGTCCGCGCCCAGTTTGGCAATTAGTGCCGTTTTGGAGCCTAGGCGTGCGGCTGCCACACACTGATTGGCGCCTTTGCCACCGAATCCGGTCTGAAATTTGTGGCCATGCAGCGTTTCGCCCGGCTTGGGCAGGCGTGGTGCGTAGCTGGGGGTATATAAAAGTGGCGGCTGCCGTGACAATGAATTCAATGCAACGTTCGTTCCACTTACCAGATGAAATCTATGATGGCCGAGCCAAAGACGAGCACATCCAGTGTGTCGCTCATTTTACTGGGGTTTTAGGCGCAGAATTTAATGTTTGTGTGTGTGTGTGTGCTTTGTAGTGCGCTTATCTCAAGTGCCGTCCGTGTTTGCCTTAGATGATAATTGGCAATAGTTGGTAGTGCAGCGCCGGCGGCTTATCAGCGGCACTGCGCCGTCTTTGGTCTGCCCGGCAGAATCTGCGCGTTGGTCTAATGTGACGTTGGTGCAGTCGTGAATTCACAATAGTGTCGTTTACTATCGATAACTATGGTTTTCCAAATGGCACGAAATAAAACAAAGAAACAAGCTTATCAGAAAACATACAATTGATGCGTTTTTTCACATACATATGTAGCCTTGTCAATGCAGACCGACATTTAACTTATTGCACAAGAAAATCGCAGATCACCTTTTGTTCAGATGCACGAGATTTTCGTTGATTAGGATAAGCTTTGCAACACAAAAACGTTTTAAACTTCCTAAAGTTGCGCACACTCGATAATTTCAAATAGCGATTGTCAAAAGTACATTATCGATAGCTATCGTTTTTCAAAGTGTTTCGAGTGCAATTTATAAAACTAACAAATAGACACGAAAAACATACATAATACAGCATTTACTTTGCCATATGCAACATTACCAATACAGACCAATGTTTAATGTGCAACACAAGAAAGTCTGCTGAACAATTCTTTTTCAGATGCACGAGATTATTGTTGATTAATATCACGTTTCAAATCTTTAAACGGTTAAAATCTACTAAGGAATAACTTGTTTCAAGCACACCCTTTATATAAAGAGTTAATTGAGTTTGCGGGCGAAGACAATTTAGATTTCCTCACTGTTCCGAAGGCAGGTAAAATGAAAACGAGATTAAATCAGCACCAAACTGCCATCTTGAAAAACTTAATATAAGCGCGCGATAGACTATATTGAGCTCAATTAATCGTGCATCCGATCGATATATCGAATAGCTGCTGAAGCGATTAAGTTCATTATCGATAAGAAAACAAAGAAAAGTTGCAGCGGATGCATCCAATGTTATTTGTCTGTTATTTAAGGAATAAACAACTTTGGCTTTGCTTGGGGATTATGTTTACTTAATAAATATTATATTAAACATTTTTTTTTGTTTTTTTCAAGTCGTGATTTCCATTACATTTGCCAGCATTGTTAGGTTCCCTTCGCTTCTATTAAATTTAGTAAACAAAATTAATAAACAAAAAACCTAATACACAGAGTCGAATATATAAGGTTAGTTTTCAATCGGTATTCATGTTAAACGTTGGCTCTGTCAAAATTCATAATTTTCGAAAAGCATAAAAAAATCGCATATTATCGATAAGTTAAAGTATCGTTTTAGGAAGTTATCGACAAGTACAACAAGTGCCAGCAACCGCTCTAAATATAAAAGGCTGATTTTGAAAACAATTAATTAATTCGCAAACATGTCGCTACACAGATTTACAAATACTTTTAGACTGGCACCTAGAGTAGCCGGTAAGTGTGACCAGCTGTAATTTGTTGATTAGGATAATTGTTGTACTCTAATTGGGTTTATTAAACCCGAGTCCAACCGACCGGTACAAAGTCCGAATCTGAGTGTGTGGCATTCAACTGGCAGCAGTTGCAACAGCTTAACTAAACCTTGCACCATTTACCTTGCCAGTCATGCAGCCCTATCGCAACAAAACACACAGCAGCAGCAGCAGCAGCAGCGCTCAGGCCGCCACCGAAGTGGCCGCAAAGTTCAAAACTCTCGCCATCAGTTCGCCCAAACCCTTCGTCTTCCATGTGGAGCTGAATCGACCCAAGCAGCTCAATGCGATCAACAGGGATATGTGGCTGTAAGTGTAAATATCATATATGTATATATATGTATATATCACCATCAATGATTATCCGCAGCGAGATCAAAGACTGCTTCGAAACGCTGGCCATAAATCCGGATTGTCGCACCATTGTTCTATCCGCGGCTGGCAAGCATTTCTGTGCCGGCATCGATTTGTCATCGATGATGAGCATGGGCCAGCAGCTGGCCGATTGCGAGGATGTGGCACGCAAGGGCGTTGTGCTGGAGCGCACCATTAGGCTGTATCAGGACTCGATTAGCGCTGTCGAGCGTTGTCCCAAGCCCGTCATCATGGCCGTGCATCAGGCTTGCATTGGTGCCGGCGTCGATCTAATAACCGCCGCGGACATACGCTACAGTACGCAGGATGCCTTCTTCCAGGTCAAGGAGGTGGACATCGGCATGGCCGCCGATGTTGGCTCGCTGCAGCGTCTGCCCAAGGCCATTGGCAGCCAGTCGCTGGCACGCGAACTGTGCTACACGGGCCGTCGCTTTGAGGCCGCCGAGGCCGAGCGCAGCGGTCTGGTTAGTCGCGTATTTCCCGACAAGGACTCGCTGGTGGTCGGCGCAATCGCCCTGGCCGAGGACATTGCCAGCAAGAGTCCCATCGCCGTGCAGACGACCAAGGAGAGCATGGTCTATTCGCTGGAGCATACCAATCAGGAGGGACTCGATCACATTGTAAGTGCCCGGCTGGGCTATCTCTGGCTGATTGAAAAACGGGTTCTATATTAACCTTTGCCCTTCTGTCTATTGCAGCGTATTATCAACAAGCTCTATCTGCAATCCGAGGACTTTGCCCAGGCGGTGGGCGCCCAGCTCACCAAAGATGAGAAGCCAGTGTTTGCCAAGCTTTAAGAGATTCTAATTCTATGAACTTGAACAATTAAATGTATTTGATTCTTTTTTCTGTATACTTATCGTGTATGTACATGGGCCCTGGGCGATCGGAGTTATGCGCGTGATCTGATCACAAATGGTTATAAACTTTAGTTGGGAGTAAATTATGACTAGGAATTTTGGGTCGGCGTTGATGGCAACTACTTGAAAAGATCTTCGAGGGCGCGTCGCTCCTTGACACAGCCGGCGGTTAGCACCTCGATCTGGCCCTGCTCATTGATCAGTATGTCATCCTCGATGCGTATGCCAATGCCGCGAAACTCGTCGGGCACATCTGTGCGCTTCTCATCAATATAGATGCCCGGCTCCACGGTGAATACCATGCCCGGCTGGAGGCGTGTATTGCGCGGCACATGCGGCGTATCGTGTACATCCATGCCCAGATAATGGGAGACATGATGCGGACAGAATTTGTAGCCCTGCGTGGCTAGCTCCTTGTGATCGGTCAGATGCTTATCCACCAGTCCAATTTCCTGCAGATATTTGCCCAGCCTGTAGCAGGTCGTCTCAAACAATTGATCCAGCGTCTCGCCGCCCGGTTGCATGATCAGCTCTGAAAACAATAAACATGATTTATACAGGGATTTTGCTCTTTGTCAGCTGCCTTTACCAATTGTCTCCTTTTGCAGCTGCTCCATCATGTCGTAGAGAGTGCGCTGCGGATCCGTGAATTGGCCGCTAACGGGCCAGGTGCGTGTTATGTCGCTGGTATAGCCGCCGTATTCGCAGCCGGCGTCCATCAGCAGCAGCTCCTGCGGCTGCAGCAGCTGTGTGTTGTTCACATAGTGTATAACGGTGGCATTTTTGCCGGCAGCCACCACAGGCGGATAGGCCAAATAGCTGGCGCTGCGCATGCGGCACTTAAAGTCTATGGAGGCGTATAGCTGATGCTCCGATTGGCCCGGACGGGTCTCGGCCATCACCTCGTTGAAGGCATGCGAGGCTATCGAGCATGTGCGACGCATTAGCTGCATCTCGGCGGGCGATTTGATCAGACGCATATTCTCCACGAACGTATAGACGGGCAGCAGCTGGGTGCGCTCGTTGTTGCACACCTGCAGCATGGCATCCGTCACATTGGTCAGCTCCGATTGCTTCAGATCGAACCACAGATGTGGCTTTAGCTGGGCGATGCGTGCCGCCAGCATTTGTTGGAAATTGTCGATGGCATGTGCCTCATGTACGCCAAAGAGCTGCACAGCATAATCGGGCCCAGTGCGTGGACCATCCCAGAGCTCGGCATGCGGATCCTTGGGGCGCATAAACAGCGTTGACTGCACTATGCCCACATCATCAATGGTCAGCAGCAGCACCGAGTCCGGCTCCAAACAACCGGTTAGATAATAAAAGTCCGAGCTCTGACGGAACACATAGGGTATCTTGCCACTCATATACTTCTTGGACGCCGCACCAATGACCAGCTAAGGAATTACATGGAATCAGCAACAACAACAAATGCATTTAAACAGCATTTAAAGGCCATACCATGTGAGACTTGGAGGTGCGTCCATTGAATTCATCGCCAAAGCTATCCGCATAGGCCTGCAGGCCTTGCATAAGCTGTGCGCGACGCGTCTGAAATTCCGCTTGACTCACGCCGGGCACCAGCTCGTTCGGCCTGATCAGATGCGGATGCGTTGCGCTTGTCGGCTGACCCAAAGCGCGCAGTCCGTTCTTTAGGGCATCGGCAACGCCGCGCACTTCCTCGGCAGTTATTTGCGCCTTGCACATTCTGGGCGTCGACAATGTGGAGAAATTCGGCTTGGTGCCAAGGGCGCGCATTAGGCAAAAACGTGGCAGGCGTTTTAATGCAATCATATTAACGATATTCGGCAGCGGCAATTTAATAAGTTGTGCTATTTGGGCGTCTGCTTAGTTTTGAATGTAAGTAATATGGGCACAAAATTTGTAAATCTATGGCAAACATAAGGAAATGGAATAACTGACAAAAAACAAAACATTTGCCGCTATGCTTTAGAGATGTCACCAAACAATGTTATCGATATATCGATGCAATGCGATACATTTGCAATCAATCAGCTTTTATTCTTTATTAATTCTCTTCTTTGGATGACTAAACAGAAAAAATTTCGATCTTTGAATTGTTTAAACATTGGTGCATGCGAAGCCGTGTGCCAATCGTGTTCGTTTTGAAATTTTGCACAATATCAACAACAAAAATATCGATGACAAATTTTGCAAAGGTTTTAAAAAATCGATATAGATTTACACAACACACTGCCGCATTATTCGCGTTTAATATATGAGTATTATTTTAGTGATACAATTCTCACCAATACCACCGCAATAGCAATGGCAAATGAAGTAAGCGAGAGAAAATTATGATTGACAGACAAACAGACACACAGCGATATATGTACTTATATATATACATATATGTTTTATATTTGTATCGCCTGCAGTGCGGAGTGCTCCGTTTGCCGGTGGACTACGAGTCCATACGCTTCAATGACTGGTCCATCAGCTACGAGAAGTCGCACATATTGAAGAGCATGTGCCATTTGGGCAGCGACAAGTGCTGCGAGAAGGACGACGCCAATCGCTGTGATCTCTGCAACTATCAACATTCACTGGAGCTGCCACATCTGCCGGACATGGTGTTCCACAAAAACAAATTGATGCTGCAGCACAAAGATGGCGCCGTCATGGAATTCAAGCCCATGGACGCGCTGGCTCTCGTTGCCAACGGCAAACAGGCCCCCTTGGAGGTGGCCTGCGCTCAGGAGTGGCGCGAGACGCGGTAATCGCCCAAACAACAATTAACATTCGCAATTCCATTCCACCAAGCTTGCGGCTTAATAAGCAACTTAACAATATTTCAGCGCCGAGCAGAACATGGAACAGAAATACAAGCCATTCGACTGGACATTCACCACAACATATCAGGGCACATTAAATGATAAGTTTCGCACGGAATTGACGGACCAGACGCTCAACAAAATGAAGCTAATGCAGCGCGAAAACATTCTATTCTATCACGATCTCACACTCTACGAGGATGAGCTGCATGATCATGGCATTTCCGTGATGAGCGTGCGCATTGTGAGTAGCCCCGGCCTGACAAAAATCATTTGCATAATGATTATTTGAATTTTGTTATTGTTGATCGGCGTCGCCCTCTGCCTGCCTGCCTGCCTGCCTTGCCTGCACGTCTGTTCATTTCCATGCAATTCACATTCTCCATATTTATTGAAGATTGTTTGATCAAGCTCTTTTTGTTTTTTTGGTCTACTGCATCCGATCAATGTATTATATAGCTGCATTAGGAGCGATCGGTCAGGGATTAAGTTCTTGTATAAAAAACCTTTTTTTCTTTTTTTTGAAGATATCTTAAGCAAACTTGTCCTTTAGGAGTTCCTATCGTGCTCGTCAAATATGAACCATATCTTATTAACATCGGACTTATCTCTATATATAGAACTGTTTGTCCCGACTGACTGACTAACTGACTGACTGACTGACTGACTGACTGACTGACTGACTGTCTGATTGGTGATCAACGCACAGCTCATACCGAATTTATATAGTTCTCTATGGTTCTCTTATGTGATGAAGGTGCACGTTAAGGCGTGGTTTCGGGAAATTTCATCCGCAGGTGGGGAAAAATCGTGAAAAGCGTTTGTATGCAACTTTTTTGGTTTACCATCCGATCGGCCTCAAACTATCTTTCAAAGATCTTTGTTCAAATTCATCTAAGGGCTGTTTTCGCACTTTTTGAAAAATGCATTCAAAGATTTATTTTGTTTCCAAAGATCTATATGACAAAAATCATTCGAGACGTGATTCACACTTTTTACAGAATCCAAGCTTCCTCGGTGGATATATGTACATATATGTGCATATGTATGCCTGTTTGTACAGACATGTATGCATGCTTGTTTGTATATATGAAAAAATGTATGCATACATACATACACACATACATACATGTACATGTACATACATATATATGTTTATACATACATACACATATGTGTGCAGCCATACATGCAGTACATACATATGCACATACATACATATGCACATACATACATACATACATATGCACATACATACATACATATGCACATACATACATACATACATATGCACATACATACATACATATGCACATACATACATACATACATATGCACATACATACTTATGTACATACATACTTATGTACATACATACATATGCACATACATACGTACACATATACATACATACACATATATGTACACACGCACATATTACACATAACACATACATACACATAAAAGGACATACATACACACCGCAAACTCAACAAGAAAAAAAGCCACTACTAGCTAAGCATGAAAAACTGCAGAGCCTACTTGAATTCTTGAGAATCGAGGAGGAGAGCCCTTGGCAGAAATTCGTTTCATTTAAATTTGCAGCACAGCGAAACAAAAAAGGCTTGATCTGCGTTTCGTATTAGAAAACAAACATACATGCATACATATACAGCTATATACATATATATGTATATGTATATGTATATATATATGCATATGTATCGGTCAAAACTCAACCGACTTTCACGAGGCGTGGCTCTTTGTTCTCATGGTTTGGTCTCTAGGTCAATTTGGCATCTAAATCTGGACACATTATTGTGGTTTTTTTACTTCAAACTTATATATGCAAAGATCTACATAAGAACTTAATGAAAACATGTTGCCGATCGACTTTAAAACTCATGTTTCAAAGATCTTTGGGAGAATATATTTTATACATACCACGGCCAAGGCCGAGTGTTACGCGTTAGTATATCATATAGCTGCCATAGGAACGATCGTTCCAAAATAAAGCTATTCTTTGGAATATAGTTTTGTTTCTTACGATATATTATCGCCTTTTTGTATAACGTAAGAGTTGCTCAGACTGAAGATCAAGCTATATAGAAAACTATATTGTATAACTGTTAGAGGAACTATCAATCTAGGATTAAGTTCTGATCTGAAACATTTTTTGTTTTTCGAAGATATCTAAAAACAAACTTGTCCGTAAGGAGTTCTATCATGGGACTTATATATGTTATATATGTATCATATCGTGCCAAACGTTTCTTAGGATATCGTATCGCCTTTTTTTTTATAAGTTTTTTGTTTTTCAAGATATGCAAACCCAATTTAGAAGATAACGGCAAAAAAAAGCAAGCAATGTCAGGCCAGCAATGGGTAATCGTTTTTATGCTAGATTATTTGTCTTAAATGAGAATAGTTAACCAACTTACGAGAATATGGTTTCTAATTTGTTTTGTATTTGTTTTTATAGCGCGTTATGCCCTCCGGTTTCTTTGTGCTGTTGCGTCACTTTCTGCGCATCGACGATGTGCTCATACGGATGCACGACACGCGCTTCCATTGGGAGATCGAGAATGATTATATACTCAGGGAGTATATACATCGCGAGGCGCCCTGCTCGGAGCTACAGGTAAATAGCACTCTGTACCGGTTTCATAGACACACTTTGCTAATACTCTTTTTCTTTTTGGTCTTGCAGACCTCGACTAGCTTTTGGACGAATCCCGATGAAATGCAAAATTTTCTGCCCGTCAAGGCCAACGAGCTGCACAAGCTGCACTTTAAATAGTTCGAGTTCGAGGGGCTTCCCCCTTTTCCGTTTCCGTTTCCATTTTCCACTTCTTTTTTTTTTGTAGTAGTAGCAGTAGTAGAAGTATTGGGCATCCGGTGCTCCAGCCAGCCCGCCCTTGGTCAGCCAGAGTGTATTGAAAGCAAATTCATCGTTAAACGTTTAAGTTGATAAATTTCATGTAGCAATTTAAGTTAAGTGCTCAGCGTGTGTATTTATTCGCCCACAACTGGTGCGCACTGTGCAAACATTTAAAAGCGAGCGTCCTCCGTAAAGGGCCACCGTAAATACTATATATATATATATATATGTGTGTAATTAGCTATAAAGGGCATCTGATATTATTTCGTGGCCAGGCTAAGCGCCGCCCAGCAGCGCGGCCAATGCGTGCCTGTAGTCGCCCGACGTTTCCGACTGCAAACAGAAAGAAAACGAACAACAAAAATGAGAACAGTTTCAATATATGTATGTGCGTACAATCCGTACAATTGATACGGGCATTTCCAGGCTCACATGCAAGAAAAATCTACTCAAAACTAATTTCATTACAAATTACATCGCAACGAGCAGAAAAAAAAAAAAAAAAAACAACAAACAAAATGGCCGAAAACAAAAAATGAGAGATCTTTTAACGCTTTTCAACACCCTTTTTCTTTTTTTGGCGTAACGTTTTCTCGCACAAATAATGTTTGCAAGTCGCAACAATCGCGTAAATTAAGTATAAATAATGTTACGTAATGTGTGTTACGTAACGTATACAATTCAGGCCTTAATTGAGAAATGAAAGCAATTTGTAACTTTTAGCCGCGTCCTTTAAGATTATATATACATATATACATAATACACAAATAAATTGCATTAAGTAACTCGAGAGCTTTGGCGTTTTCTATACTCTTGTGGGAGGATATTATAGAGTAAAGTATATATATATATACATATATATATTCTCGATCGGAATCAACGGACAATCTGTTTCTCGACAAACTATTCCCCACAGTTGAAGCCCTTGATACTTGTCAGGATTCAATCGGATAGCCCGGATCGGAGCACCTTATCATTTACAGCTACTTATAGTTTGCCTAGCTAATATCATCTGGATATCCAATCTAAAATCAAATCTCTTTGATGTGGCTCTGGAATTGCCCACATGCCAGTTTAGCAGGAAATTTGATTGGGATTGGGAAGAGCAGATTCGATTGGGCAATACTTACGTCCTAGCACCAAAGACAACAACCACAACCACAACAACAACAACAATAACAAGAAGGGAACAAGTGGGAACAGTTTTACATAGGGGGAAAAGTTGGAAATGCATTAAAATCTGGAAACGGTAAAATGCGTTCGAGGACTTACCACAATGGCGCTGAGCAGCGTGCGATTGTAGATGCGCTCGAACTCCTGCTTAATGGTCTCCAGATCGATCTCGGAGCGGCTGACAATGATGCGTATGATGGTGGCATCATCGGTGCCGGCGCCATCCATGGCCTTGTGCAGGCGATTGGCAAAGAAGGCCGCCGGCGACTGGACGCACTCGACTGCCGGGGAAGGAGGAGATGCGAGAAATGTTAATCGCCTGTGCAATGTGGAATGGAATGGAATCGATATTGGACATACCTATGGCCATCATGGCCTCGTGCAGCTCATCGGCCATCTCGTGCTTGATGGCCTGCTCGATGGTCTGGCCGGACAGCTCCTTGTATTCGTCGAAGATCAGCCGCAGCTGGGGGAAGCTGGCATGGGCCATTATACGATTGAAGACCTCCTCGTCGGTGCCCAATTTGGCCTCGCCGGCGGCATACAATTGTGCCGCCTGTTCTTTGGCTTGTGCCGCATCCACGGGCGTATTCATTGGATCCCGCACACCGGTCACAATCAATGTGAGCAGACGTCGAAAGAAACCGGAGGTTTCGCTGCACATTTGCTCGGCCAGCGGCCGTCCATATTTCTCCTCATAGTTGACGACAAGTTGCTGCATCTCCTCGTTGGATTTGGTGCACAAAATTTCGACAAGTGTCGACTCCTCGGTGCCAATGCCGGCCATGGCTTTGTGCAGCTGCTGGCACAGATAGTCGACGGGCGGTAACATAAGCGCCACAATCACATCCTCAAACTTGCCGCCCAGCTCACCCTTCAGATCTTCGATCAAATCTCTATCGAATTCGGACGCATAGGCGGCGCTAATCACTTGACGCTGGGCATTGGTGCGTGAGGTGAGCACCTCGATTATTTGCTCCTCATCGGTGCCGAGGCCACGCATTGCGGCGCGCAGCTCCTGGCTATCGCTGGCCGCATCGAAGGGGCTGCGCGGCACAACGCACGGCACGGCCTGTACGCGATGAGTCAGCGCAATTGCTTTAGCCCCAAATGTATCGATTCAATTTGCATACGAACTACTAACCTTATATTCCATCATATCTCTTCTTTACTTTACACGGTTAGTTTTGTGTTAAGTGTGCGTTTTTTTAACTGTTCTTTTTTCCCACAAATCACTTTTCACACTGGCTCGTTCAGTTTTCAGTGCAGTTGCGTTGTTGCTGCAATTTGCAAATGCGCTTCGTTGAGTTTGCTTTTGCGTTCTCGCGCTGTCTTCTCCACCCGCCGTTTGCTACTGACGACTGCACAGACAACGTCGCTGCTGCTGCCGAGGCTGCCGCTGCTGCTGCTGCTGCTGCGGCTGCTGACGTCGACGTTGAGAGCTTTTATGACGAAGCTTTTAATTTCGCTTTAACTACGGCTTCGGCCCGGAATGGCAATGCAATACGCATGCCAATTGCATGTATCACTGAATACACACACAAATGACCTAGCTAGATATAAATAGACAGTGTGTGTATATATATATATGTATGTATATAATTTTTATCTTTATTTAATCTCGTTAAATGGTTTAGTTTTATTGCTGTTGGTTGTTGTCGCTTGCATGAGTTTTTTTAATATACAATTCAAATACAGTTTGTCATTCTTCTAATTCTCAACTGGTTCGCTTCATGCACGCGTGTGTAAATATCGCGTTATATAATATATATGTATATGTATATATATATATAATTTTATTGTTGTTGTATGTTATATAAATCTTTGCGCAAATAAGTTTTGTTTGCCGTTATTTTCTTGAATTTTCTCCCTTTTCTTTTTGTTTGTACACAGCTCGTGGGGGCGAAAAATCAATACCGAAAGAAATGAAATCAGTTCTAAACATATTAAGAATATGTATATATATATATATATCAAATAAATTACAAAATACCAATGGGGGAGGAGACCTTCAAAACAGCACGCAGAAAAGAACGTTTCGCATTTAAACTAAAATCGTATAAAGCATATATCGCGCATATCTATATATATATATATTTTCGGGTTCTTGTATTTCTCAGTGCAACTTCATTTGATGAACTTCACTTGAATACCAACGAAAAAAAAGCAGCAGCAGGGGGATGATGGAATAAATCGAAAAGCTTTAAAGCTCTTAGCTTGGGCGCATTGTGGAAAACGGGTGGAAAATGGGTGGAAAGCGGGTGGAAAATGGGTGGAAAGCGGGAGCTTTTGATAAAAATAACTTGAACAAAAGTAAAGCAAAGCTCTCAACACAATGCACGGACAATTAGAGCACATTTATAAATATATAAATATGTATATATGTATATATATCCCCCATTTTTTTTGGCGATGCACATTAACGATTTTGGTTTAGACGAAAACGCTTCTCTGTTCAATTCTAGAAACTAATGCCTGGTTTGTGGTGTGTTGTTATTAGACCTCGTCGTTCTGGTTCATCTTGAGCTCGTTGAGGGTAGCATTGAATCGGGACCATTCGTCGCGCGACGGCAGCGCCAGATGCTCAGCGACATCGTAGACATAGAGCTTGCCGGACTCATCGCCGATGGTCACATGGAGGCCCGATGGTGTCCAGGAGACGCGATTGAGGGCTGGCGCATTATCGACAACGACTGATGCTGTTGGCACTTCGGTATCCTGATTGAGATTCCATAAATCAAGGCGACCGCTACCATCGACAGCAGCAAATAGAGCGGGATGAACGGGCGACCAGGCGACATCCATAACATAATCCGAATTATCCTCAAACGAATACAGGGGTTTCGTGTCCTGCCAAACAAAATGGTTAGCATACACGCAGACAATTCAAATGGATGGAGGGAAGGCTGCTCACCTTGAGGGACCACAGCTTAATTGTCCAATCGATCGACGATGTTAGGAACAGATGTCCAAAGTCCGGCGACGATTGATTATAGTGCGTTGAGATGCCCGTTATGGGACCCAAATGCCGTTCGAATACCTCATTCACGCCGGAGCGCAAGCCGTGCCGCGAGGCCGAATAGACATAGCCATCCTCGCTGCCCATGACCAAGCTGTTGATCTCATTGGCCGGAAAGGCCATGCACGTAATGGCGATCGCCTTCGATTGGCGCTGCTGCAGCTCAAGGGTATCCTGCGGCTGGGATAGCATGTCCAGCGACCAGGAGCACAGCTTGCCATCCGACGATATCGAGATGACATTGTGCGCATTCTGTGTGCCAACCATTTGCAGACAATAGACGGGATGTGTGTGCGCGGCAGCGCTCAGTGGCGTACGCTGTATGGGCGTGCGTTTCTGGACACGATTATCCCAGAGCACAATCTGGCCAGAGTATGTGCCGCCGAGTATTAGATTGGGATTGAATTTGGCAAAGCATGTCGACATCACGGCGCTCTGACAGTGGAAGACATCCTCGGGCGTTTGCTTCTTAAACTTTGTATTCCAGACCATCACGACGCCGTCCGGCTCATTGGGGCTCTCGTCGTTGCTGTGATACGAGGCGACGACCAGTTCCGGAAAATGCGTTGACCAGTCCATGCTGGTGATGCAGCGATTCTTTGACCAGCGCTCATCGTAAAAGACACGATTCATCGAGAGACGGGCATGGGAGCGTTCATCGTTCGCCTCCTCGTTGTCGCCGCATCCAATGTAGTCCGTATAGATGTCCACGTTCTCGGAGAGGGCGCGCTCAATGACGCGTCCGGCACGCAACACGAATCTCTGAAAGTCCTCCGATAGTATGATCATTTGCTTTTGCTCCTCCGACAGTTCCTTGACTGCAAAAAGAGTAACGATTTCGTGAGCGAAGATTTTTGATCAATGTCCGTGAAGCGTGATCATGTCACGAAAATTGCACGATATTTCAATACTTTTGCGTGTCACGCGCTCATTTCTAAGTTAATAAACTTTAAATTAGAGATGTGTGCGTGACGCTTGGGGTGATAATTTCTCATTGCTCACAGTTGTGCATCTCTAGATCTGAGCCGAATGCTGTTATTGAAAAGATCGTGATGCGATCACAGCTTGCTCAAAAAACTTGCTTTAGCTCAAAACTTCGTGCCACATGAAGATATCGTCTCGTGCTCACGTGCACATCTCTAGCTGTAGATCAGCTTGTACACTCACCCTCCTTCTTCTCCTCCTGCTCCTTCTTCTGTTCGAGCGGTGTTATGGCTGGCGCCACATCCTTGACCGTGGGCAGTCCGTGGGTGAGATAGCCAGGCGGCAGCTTCGAACTAAAGCCATGGTCCAGATGGGGCAGCGAGCTCTCTTCGTCGTCTCCTTGGGCATCAAATGCAAGCACTGTTTAAGGTATAAAACTAACACAGCTAAAGGAACATGACAATCGACAGAACAGGAACAATTCTACATTTTTTCTTTTTCTTCTTTTCTTTTCTTTTTTTTTGCTTTTGTTTTTGTTTAGCTGCGCAACTTGCTTTTAACGGGCGCCTTTAACGGTTGAACGTGACGTTTCTTTTTGCATGTTGTCTCTGTCATTCTTGCAAAAATTTCGTTATTTTTTTTTTGGCTTTATTACAGGGCTTTGTGTGTGTGTGTGTGTGTGTGTGAGTGTGAGTGTGAGATTAGCTTGAGGCACAGTGTTGGAAAAGAGCGGAGTAGAGGGGCGATTAACAGAAAGAGAGCGCACAATTGGAATTGAACATGTGCTAATTGGACTCGACACAACTGTGTGTGGGAGTGTATGAACGAGAATGGGAGGGAGCGATAGAGATACAGATAGAGATAGAGAGGGACGGTAAGGGAGAGAGGGAGAGAGAGAGAGACACACATACACACGCGCGCTTGCACTTGTGTTATATTCATAAGCTGCAGATTTGTAAAAATATGAAAACACAAGAATTTCATAAAGTACATGGTGTGTGTGTGTGTGTGTGTTTTAGTGTGTGCGTGCGTGTGTGTGTGTGTGCCAATATATGCACTAGATGCTGTTAGTTGTGCTTTACGCTTGACACCATACAACTTAATACACAAAGCCAATTAATAAAAAAAAAAAAAGAAAAAGAAATTAAAATATATATATTTAAAATTAAACAAATTTACAGTTTCCTATTATCTCATACGCCGTTAATATGTATGCATGTGTGTGTGCGTATACATATATATATATATTTTTTTTTATATATGCATGTATGTAGTGTAGCAGCATAATAGATATAGAGAAATAGAGAGAGAGAGAGAGAAAGGGAGAGAGAGAGAGAGAGAGAGAGACAGATAGAGGCATATTTCAAGTAATATTATTATGTATTACGTAATTGGTTTAAACTCTATAAACAACACTTTCTTGCTTCACTAATTCGTGTATCAATTAACATTTGTTCAGTTGTTTTTGTTTTCTTTTCATGTTCTCCACCCAGTTTATAAATTTTTGCGCTTAAAATTATGTATTTATGCTAGGTATATTTTACATATATATATAATTTTTTACTGTTTTTTTTTTTGTATTTTCATTGCTGTTTTGTTTTTTTAACATTTAACATTAACAGCCAACAGAGGTCGCTTTTGATTTCTTGTGCCGTGGGTTAACAGTTAACACAGTTGTTAACGGTACATTAAAGAGAGCCGCCTACGACGCGCTTCGCTTGCTGTGCTTGTTGAGAGAGTGAGCGAGACAGAGAGAGAGAGAGAGGGAGAGACAGACAGGGGGACAGATAAAGAGAGCTTGAAGTTGCCGTGTGTGTATGTGATTGACTGCGCTGAGCAAGAGAGTACAAGACAGAGAGAGAGAGAGGGAGGAGAGGGAGAGACAGGGACGCCAACCAAAGAGCGAGACAATCTGTAACTAGCGTAAAATTTCACCCCAAACAGAAAAGAAAGAACAAAAGAATTTAATTGTTTTACTTGACTAAGACGACTTCGGATCTTTGATGTTAGCAATTTTGGATGAAACAAACGTTAGTCGCACGCAGTTAAAATATGTATGTATAGGCAATAGCTTGATGAAATGATTATTGAAATTGAGGTTAGGTACACACAAAATGCACAAAATGAAAGATTTTGCTTGAGTATTTATTCAATTTTTTGTTATATGATGCTAGATCATGCAGGCAGGCAGGCAAAATGGCGTCGGTTTCATTAGCTGTACAGCGTATTAGAGACAAGGAGCGAGAGAGAGCGAGAAAGAGAGAGAGAGAGAGAGAGAGAGAGAGAGGGGGGGGGGGTTGTGTATATGGCTATGTGTGTGTTTCGAGAGTGTGTCAGCCAGCGCGAAGTTCATGTTCATATGATTATTGGTAATATATGTATATATATAACTTTATATCTTCAAGTTAAGATTTGAATTAGGTTTAAGATAATTATTGAACGCGTTGTAGCTAGAATTTGTACGTTCCTATTTTGCTTCATGTCGATTCCCGTCACTGTTTGCGAAACGCCATTTTGTTTTGGGTGTACCTACCTGTGAATTCATCCTCCCACTCTAAACCCGGATTAAGATTGTATTCATCTTGAAGAAATATAAAGAAATAAATATATTGTACATAATATACACAATTTAGTTGTTGTTGATTTTAGTTTCGTCTTCGACTTGTTTTCTAGATTATTATTTTTTTTTTTTTTTTTTTTTTTTTTTGAACAAAAGAAATCAAGACTCCAAAAACTTGGACTCAACGTACCGCCCTTGAAATTGATCGGGTATGCAGTTTTCTTCGTGAACAAAAGGCAAAGAACATAAGATGATGTACGAAACGATAAAAGCAACCGATTATATGAATATGTTTTACGTCTTTTTTGTTTTTGTAGTTTTACATATAGATAGAACATAAATCATGGATTTTCGATAAAAAAAAGATATATATAGAATAATTAGCACATTTGTCGAACGAAAGCGGCGACAATTATAAATTATAGTACAATGTTAAGTTTATAACTGATAAATACTAAACTCATATATATATATAGATATATGTATATGTATAGTATATTATATAGTACATGATATTTCTCAGTGCTTTTACATGCATTCGTGTTGTATGCGTGTGTGTGAGTGTGTGTGTGTGTGTGTGTGTGTGTGGCTTACATTTCGTTCAAGACTTAGATTTCTAATTGATAGATATATATATTTATATATATATATATATATGCTCGATACTTGCGTTGGAAAAAGTTGGCTACAGATATTATGAATATTAAAGTAAATAAAAAAGAGGAAGATAAAACAAGGCTAAGCTCGTCAAATAAATTGATACGACTAGTGTATAACAGTTGCAATTGAAACTGTTATACTGTTATACGCAAAACTAAAATGCGAGCTCTTCGTAATTTTCTTTTTCTTTTGGTTCTTATGAAAACGAATATTTTTTTGTATATATGTATATAATAATAATAATTATAGAAAATAACTTAAAAAAGTCGACTACTTAAATGAATAGAAAAAAAAAACTTATAAATTGGGTGGAGTTTGTTTAGATATATATATTTAAAATTATATATATATATATGTATATATATATGTAAATATAAATAGACTATAATGCTGATACAAACTGAATCACAGATTATGCCGTCTAGACGCTACATTTGGAAACATAAATCTCAATAAATAGCAAATTCAATAAATTAAATATATATGGGAAATATTGTACCGAAAGGCCGCAAAAAGCAATAGCTAGAATATATATACGAGTAATAGGTTTTTTTTTTTTTTTTATCAAGCACTATAGATAGAAACTACATACACGCAAGACTAACGAGTAATAAGTAACGAGAGCTAAAAGGTAGCGAGTAATAAGTAACGAGAGCTAAAAGGTAGCGAGTAATAAGTAACGAGAGCTAAAAGGTAGCGAGTAATAAATAACGAGAGCTAAAAGGTAGCGAGTAATAAGTAACGAGAGCTAAAAGGTAGCGAGTAATAAGTAACGAGAGCTAAAAGGTAGCGAGTAATAAGTAACGAGAGCTAAAAGGTAGCGAGTAATAAGTAACGAGAGCTAAAAGGTAGCGAGTAACTAAATACAGCGAGCGAGCAGGACAAAGAGAGACAGAGAGAGAGAGAGAGGTAGAGAGCGAGAGAGGGTAGGCATAGACAGACAGGAGTGGGAGAGAGGCAAATATATATATAGATATATATACAGAGAGAGAGAGAGAGAGAGAGAGAGAGAGAGTATACGATAGTTTCTACTTGGATTCGCGGGCGGGAATAATTAGGTAGTTACATACAAAAAGTCAACAACTACTCACCATAATAATCCGTAGCATGAGCTGCAGCATATTTTGCGTGCGTACCAAGAACAGATAAAAAGTGGGAAGAAAAAGTAAATAGACAAATTATTAAATGCGCTCAGACAGATGTCTAAATCCAAAACAAAAGCAGCGAATGCAACAATAATAATTATAATAATAACGATAACAATATAAAAACAAAAAACAAAACAATTAACTATGAAGAATGAAGAATGATCGTTGAATCGATTAAATGATGAGCATGTGAAAATATAGATCATATATGTATATATAAAGTTATAGCATATTATATTTAGAGAGCTTAAAATTGGTTACCATAATGAATTGTGTGCTGTTGTCTAAATTTGATTGCGGTCTGCTTAAAACTATATATAATACCTTTACGTGGACGCCACCAGTCCTCCATATATCCTGACAGAGGCGATGAGTGGCAAGAAAGAACTGTATTTGTTATTTTATTTCACTTATGTTAAATGCTTGCTCTATATTTTTGTTCAATTTTCATTTCATTTTGAAGCACAACACAACAACTCAAATGTGGCAAATCAATATTGGGTTAGACGCAAGGATTCTGGGAAATAGCTTTGGGTATATATATATATATACTATATAGAAATATATATATATTGTAAGCAAGCGTACAGAAGACGGAAAATAAATAAGACAGTTGAAAAAGAGGTGAAGAAACTATGGAAAGTGTTTACAGAGTAGACATACGTATGCATGATTCGGTTATGGGTTATACACTAGCTAGCATTGGGCACTATATATGAATATATATATATATACATATATATAGATATAGATATAGATATAGGTATGTCTTATAGCGCATACGCACCATCACGCTCGTGTCCGCCGGTGCTGGTGGTCTGTGTTTGTTTCGTATAGACGAGTGTCTCCTTTGGTGGAATGTTTGTGGCCTGCACGTTGTAAACGCTCAGATTCAGTGGCTGTTTCTTGCCGGCGCTGCTGTTTAAAAAAAAAAATCAAGTTTCAGTTGAAATCGCCAAATGCTATACAAACGGACACTTTCAGGTTGAACAAAGTCGAAACAAGCTTGAAGCAAAGTTGTATTCGAATAATAAATTAAAAATATATATATTGTTTCAACTTTTGCTCAACTTTGGAATTGCCCCTTTGGTTGTCTATAATATTTTTGCATCATTTTTATATACCCCTGTCCATTGACGTTGGCCTGCAGGCTAACATCAGGCGTTTGTGTATTGGAATTATCAGATGTCAGCGAATTGGCTGAAGACAGCGAGGAGAGCACCTCAGAGACGGGCGCAAAGCCCAGCGAGGACAGCATTTCATCCAAATCTCTGCAAAGGCATTTAACATTTCAACAATAGGCTAATCAGGTATATCTAATTAGAGACTCACTTGCGCTGATCCTTGTCAATGCCGGTGCCGGTGCCAATGCGTCCGGCTGCCTCTTCCATGTCTTTAATCTCCTTTTCGCGGCGACGTCGATCCTTCTCCTCGCGCAGTGCTGCCAATTTGGCCTTCTTGCGCTCCAGCTCAGCCTTGCGATCCATTTTTGAGGTGTGGCAACGCTCGTATTTGTTTCAACTGCCGCAGTTCGTGGAGGTAAGGCTGGTAAGGTGTTGCTCAGTTCGGGCTACAACAACAACAACAACAACAACAACTACAACTACAAGTGCAGTTCGAAAGCAGCTTTTGCTACGCTAGCTGTAGAAATTAAGAAGAACAAAAGAACCATGAATCAGTTTTGGCCATCATTAATTGTAACCAATATTGGTCAGCGCAGCTGCTTGATGATGTCACCTTCACAACAACAATAATAACTGGCCAAAAGTTAAGAAGGCCACACAACTGTGTGTGTGTGTGTGTGCGTGTGCGTGTGTATGTATGCAAATTATGTTATTTTCACTGGATAAATGCACAATTCTTGCAGCCGACAAAACTTTCAACACAATAAAAAAAATCAATAGTCAAATGGCAACCACAAGATTTGATGACGGCGGCGCAGCAGCAGCAGCAGCAAAAGCTGGTGGCAGCGCTGTCGCTGTGCTATGACGTCGTTTTCCACTTTTTGCTCGTGTGCCCAATTTTTTTGTTACACTTCAATGAACAGTCAAGTGCCGCACAATAGTCAAAACTCAACACATATTTATAGCGCACCTTTAATGTTGTTCTCGGACTTATTAAATATGCACAAATTGCAATTAAATCAACATTTCATTCCAATTGAAAATGCGATTGCAATGTTTTGTGAACAGCGCCAGTGTGACCGTAGTCAACAAATGAAATTGACCAAATATCGATATACCACAAAATACTGCAAATGTTAAGTGGCTGTTAGCATACAGCACTGCACTTGATATCATATTTAGATCGATGTGGCAACGCCAGCGAGTGCGCCAAATTTAAAAACGCCTTTCATTCATCTGGCAACGCCTGCGACTGCGCCAAGTTTGAATATACAAATTTGAATAATTAGCATTGCATGCGTTTATTTGTTGGGCGATTGAGCAAAAAGACAAATAAAAACACGTTTAACCACGCTGATTGCTTGGTAACATTAATTAATGCAGTACGCATTTGGTTGTCAAGTGAAATCATAAGAACCCGTCAACAGCGAAATATGGTCAAATGGAAATAGAAAGCTAACGAGAACTTGTTGAATTCATTGTCATTTTAATGCGACTCTCATGCAACGCGAAATAACGGTAAATTGTGGGCTGTGTGCAATTGGCATATTAAGCGGCCTTTTCCGTAATTACCTGTTAATTGTTTGGCTGACCTGGCACCAAATGCCATGAGCGAGAGAGAGAGAGAGAGAGAGAGAGACAGACTTGTGTCTTGCCATTGTATGTATGTATATTGTGGCACCCACACACACACACACACACACACACACACACTGGCACGCACACACCCAATGACACTGACACAGTTGGTGGTTCGTTCACTTTTGACTGCGAGCCCTGCCTTAAAAATGTTACATTAATACACAGATATTAATATATGCATGCGTATTTTTTGTATGTATAAAAAGTTTTGTTTTATTTAAGTCTTCTGCTTTAAGCTGTTATTTGGGTTGGAGCATCTTGATTTTAAAAATCCAGCGCAACTTGATGGCCTATAAATTGCATATGCATCGATTTCGTAATGCCAATAACATTAACTGATTGTCTGAATCGCCCCACAGCAGCTTTTTGTTGTTGTTGTTGTTGTTGTTAATACCCTCTACTCAAAATGGGGTACATTGTTTTCTTTGCATATGCATGTAACAGGCACTAGCTTATTTCGATTTATCGATAGCAAACGCGATCGATTGAAATCGATAAGCTGAATGAGATCGAATACGGAAAAAGATCGAATTTTGAAGAAGATGTTGCATAGTGCGGGCCGCTGCTGGGCTCTACAGGGTATCTGCTAGTTGCACTAACTCGACTAGAGCATGCTTGTTTTTTTTTTTTGTGGATTTCCGAAATAAAGTTGGAGCTCGCATCGATTGCCCGAGCTTTTTCTTTTGGCTAATTTTGGTTGCAGTCCAAATGACTTAAAAAAAAAAACCAAAAACCTTGAATTACAAAATCTTTCGTCTGGCTCCAGGCAGAGAAGCTGATAATGCTGTTGTTCATGATAAATCAGCGCATCTGCCAGTGCTTACAACAACAACAACAACAAAAACTTGATGCGGTGTTGCCAAACTGTGAAGCGGTTTTTATATGTATGTATGTATGTATGTATGTATGATTTTTTTCCCCACAGTTTTCGCTAATTGCGCGAGCTGTTTGCATACATATACATATGCGCACACACACATACATATATACATGTACACATGCGTTGTATTAGGGAAACGCTATTTAATGATATCTGCAATTCGATACGCGCATAATTTGCAAATTAATTGCTAATATTATTAAATTGCTCGGCTTGATCGTTGCGGCTGTTGTTGTTGTTGCTGTTGTTGTTGTTGCTGCTGTTTCTTAGAAGCTGCTCGAAGTTGCCGGACCTGCGCGCTGGCATTTATTGTGCGCCGAACGAGAGTAAAAGTTTACTTTGTTTTTCTTGAAATTAACTTTAACTAGTTGCTAACTGCTTTTTAGGTCTGTCAGTCAGCCTGTTTTTATTTCTGATTTTAATTTTTTTTTTTTTAACATAGTCGTGCTGTTTTGCCGGCAGCCCAAGGACAACGGGTTTTTGTTTTTCTTTTTTCATGTTTTTTTTTTTTCGGAGCATTGCGTGTGCGTCATATTTAGCATACTCGCATTTACATATGTACATATATATGCTTATATTATGTATATTTGATATTCAGACAATTTGAAACGCTTGACACAGTTGCAGCCTGTGGTGATTGTGCTTTTCTCAGGCGCATCCTGCCCCAAGGCCTATCCACCAGGCAGCTGAAAAGTCTGGCCACGCCAGCGAAAGGCTGATGACGTTTTCAAAAATGCATTTACAAGTGATGCCACTTGAACGTGCAGAGACCCACGCACACACACGCACACACACACACACACACACACGGTGTTGCTGTTATTTGAAAGGTTTTGTGGCTCGTCGTTAACTTAATACTCATTTTGCGTTTCTTGTTATCTTTGCGTCTGCTTTTTCGTTTTAATTTTTTTGGTTATTTTGGACTTTTTATTGCTGTAAATTGTCCAAGCATTTGCATGCGCGTCGTTAACCCGGCGAAGTTTCAGTTAAATCGTTGGCGCATATGAATTTTGTTATTTGTTTTTGTTTTTGTTACTGATTTTTTCTTCGGGCTCCCAAGGCACATACAAATTGAACACTTTATGTGTGCACACACGCACACACAGAGATAAATACATATGTATGTACATACATACATACATGTGCATGCATGTATTTACTTGCTTCATTACAGCTTTGCCTTGCCTTTCTTCGCTGCCGCCGCTGCCGTCGCCGCCGCCGCCGCCGTCAGCAATCCCCCAGGTTAGCTTTGGCATCTGCGCTCTGCGTCCGCCTGCGCCTGCGCCCAAGCGTCGCCAGCGTCTGGCGTCGACGGCGCTGCCAGCGCCGAGCGTTGCCGTTGCCGTTGCCGGTGAAAAAGTCTTGAAAAGTGCGCCTCTTTGGCGTTCCGTTGTTAGTTTAAGTTTAACCATCGCACGCTTAAGTCGCGATTTAGTTGGCCGCTAAAAGAAATATCACATTTTTTTTTGCTCTTCTCTTCTGCTAACCAAAAGGATTTTGTCACACACCAGCTGTGACACATATATACATATTTTTTTTTTATAAATTTAGTTTTATTAACAAAAAGAAAAAATGAAATTATTTTTATGTGCCATTGCTGTGACGCTCTGTGTGGCAGCGACAAGTGAGTGAAATATGCATTAATTTTAAATAACAACAAAAAAGAAAAAGGAGTAACAAAATTTGAAGCCGATTTGGCAACTTTGTGCTAATCACTTTGACATTGGCTGCGCATATGTATTGGTAGCTGTCTGTGTGTCCGTTTGAAAAGCTCTCTCTCTCTCTCACTCTCTCTCACTCTCGCACACATAGTCTGTGTACGCTGCGCAGCTTGCTTAGAATTTTAACGGTACTTTTCGCATGCAGGCATGCATTTCGCTTGATTTATCGTGTTGCTGTAAAAATGGCGATTTTATATGCCATGGGTCGACCCTGTCTGACATTTAAGCGTCGCTCAAATGTCACGTTATTTGCATTTATTAAATGCCGCAACAACAACAACAACAACAACAAGAAGAAGAAGAAGGAGAAGCAGAAGAAAACGGGTAATCGATAAACCGGCTGCCGCTGGGCCTGGGCCGTCTGGCGGAAAAACCGGACGCCCGGGCTGGAACTGGAACTGGAAACTGTTTTTTTTTAACTGTAACTGAAACTGGGACTGAATTACAGCCAAGCCCCAATGGCTGGGCACGCGATTATGTAACGGCTGCGGTTGTCGGAAAGAAAAACGGGAAAAAGAAAACCCCAAATGCGGCCTGATCGATAAATCGATCTTTGGTTCGTTTTTGTTACAATTTGTCCAAAAAGCAGGAAACTCAACTCAAGCCGGTGAAAGCACAACAAGTTTAATGAACTCCTCTCTCTCTCTCTCTCTCTCTCTCTCTCTCTCTGTGTGTCTCTCTTGCCAGGCGCAGCTGGATTCGAGTGCCCCAAGCCGAATGGCCAGTTCGCGGACGAGGTGCAGTGCGACAAATATTATGTCTGCGATGAGGGCGTGCCCAAGGCGAAACTCTGCCCGGACGGCCTGGTCTTTGATCCGCTCAATCGGAAGATCAACAAATGCGATCAGCCCTTCAACGTTGACTGCGAGGATCGCACAGAGCTGCGTAAGTTTTGCCCCAACAGATCCTTGACCAGACTTTCGCGACTGATCCTTTTCCCTATTTGATCTTCCGCAGAGGAGCCCAAGTCGACCAAGTACTGTCCGAGGAAGAACGGCTTCTTTGCCCATCCGGAGGCGAGCGTTTGCAACATTTTCTACAATTGCATTGAGGGCGATGCGCTGGAGATGAAGTGCACCGTCGGCCTGCATTTCGATGAGTATTCCGGCACCTGTGTCTGGCCGGACACCGCCAAGCGTGAGGGCTGCGGCGATCCAGAGAGTGAGTAGCTCCCGAAACGAAACGAAACGAATCGGATCCCAACTGTACTCATTTTGCACATTCTTCTCTCTCTCTCTCTCTGTCTCTCTGTCTTGTTTCGTGCAGAGAAATCGGAGAGCGGCTTTGCCTGCCCCAAGGATCAGCCGAAGACTGATGTGCGCGGCCAGGTGGTCACCCATCCCAAGTATCCGCATCCGACAGACTGCCAGAAGTTCTATGTTTGCCTGAACGGCGAGGATCCGCGCGACTTGGGCTGCCAGCTGGGCGAGGTCTACAACGATCTGACCGAGATGTGCGATGCGCCCGAGAATGTGCCCGGCTGCGAGGATTGGTACAAGGATACCGATGACAAGAAGGACTAAGCCAGCCGTTAAGCCGCGTGCCACCCGCCGATATAAAAAATATGAAAAAAAAACAAAAAACAAAAAACAAAACAAAACACGCACTGCCAACCCGATCCTTGCGCGCGTCTACTGCAGATACCCAAAATACACACTCACACACACACACACACGCACGCACAGTTACACTTGGACAGACGGAAAGGACTTACGGAGCTGGAGCTGGGGCCTCCGGGCACTGGCTGGACGCGCGTTGTAGTCACTTAAACTTAGTAGTTTCTAGCCTATTCCTATAGCGCATTTGAGTAGCACTTAAATTCCAATTCCTTCTCGTTACTTGCTGCTCGTTACTTGCTACTCGTTACTCGCTGCTTGCTGCTCGTTACTTGCCACTCGTCACTTGCTACTCGTTACTCGCTACTCGTTACTTGCTACTCGCTACTTGCTACTCGTTACTCGCTACTCGTTACTCGCTACTCGTTACTTGCTACTCGTTACGTGCAACTCGTTACTTGCTACTCGTCACTTGCTACTCGTTACTCGCTACTCGTTACTTGCTACTCGTTACTCGTTACTCGTTACTTGCTACTCGCTACTTGCTATTCGCTACTTTCTTCTGACGAGTAACTGACATTTCTAAACTCTGACTCTGAACTATCTTATTTTTCACTCTTTACTCCACTCTCTCTTTCTCTCTCTCTCTCTTATTTCCTATACTTTACTGTCTAACTGTGCTCTCAACTATTCTATAAAACGTTGTGTATATATTTCCTCTATTTTTTTTTCCCCATCTTTTTATTAATATGCAAAAACAAAAAAATAAAAAACCTGTTTTCGATAAACTATCTGATATGCTATCTTTTCTATTTTTCGACTCTCCTAACTATTTTATCTATTTATCAAATACATACTATTATTCTTTTTATAATCTACATTTGTTCTGTTTATTGTTTTTTGTTTTTTTTATCATCTTTAACTTTTGGGCTTATTTCTTCTATATTTCTGATCACCTTTCAGTTTTTCTTTCTAAACTTTTCTAATATATATGGTCTTATATATAGTATAACTTTCTGATTATTTCTTATTTCTAACTTATCTATAAACCAAATTGGAAAGTTTTCTATTCGACTTGGACTTGGAGCTTTACTTGGTTTTTGTGAAAATTGTTTTCTTTGGTATTTCTAGACAATCCCATCAAAGTTATTCCATCATATATTTGAAATTCTTGAAACTTCCTTTTCCCACACATTTTTCTAAGTGTCCACGTAATTCTTAAACAATTCTCTTCAGACCATTCCATCCAAGTTATTCTATGATATATTTGAATTCTTTGAAAGTTTTAAATACAAATGTCCAAGTCTATCTTAAACTATTCTTCCAGATAATCCCATCAAAGTTTTTTTTTCATCAGGTATTCCAAGATAATTATTTGAAATTCGTCAAAAATTCCTATTCTCGTCATTTTTTTTTTTTTTTTAAATTCCAAGTATTTCTTAAACAAACCTTATAGGTCTGGTTCTCCTGCACTTATCGCAACTGATTGTGAGATAAATTAAAGAAATTCCCAGAAATTGTATCTTTAATTTTTATCTTTCCATAATCTGCCCATTTAATATTCCCATATTTGCTCAACTTACGCTAGTTGAATAACGAGTTTTTTTCCAAGTTTCCGGTTTTCTTTGACTTATTTGAATTGAACTTATCTATTTTCCGATAAACTTTCAACTTATTTCCTGTTCAAGGTCGAGTTTTACTGTATTACTTGATTCCTTTTAGATTTTTCAACGAGAGTTTACTTTTATTCCTTGACTTAAGATTATCTTTTAACTTATTTCCCCTTTTCAAGCTATTTTTTTAACCCCTTGGTTCTTTTAAGCTCTATCGACCATTTTCTTCTTCAAGCTTTACCCTTATTCCTTGACTGTATTATATCATTTATTATAAATCCAAATTTCAGCCTTTCCTCCACATTATACTCTATTTCCTCTTCGAACTTTTCCCGCTTTCGTTCATCCCCTTTCTAATCTATCGACAACTGTGAACCGTTCCGATGATCGCAATTTCGTTAACGAATACATTCACACGACTCAAACAACAACGAAACGAAAACATTCATTTCCATTCGCAAACTCATTCGATTAAATAACAAGATCTGAAATTATGCCAATTGTGTGTTGTTTATCTTGCGAATGCCAAAAGATTTATGTTTAGTCGTCCAAATCGAGGGCAAATCGATTTGTCGTCAATCTTATTCGCATCCTATTATGAAATATCACCACCCCCCCCCCCTACCCCTACCCCTACCCCTTTGCCCACCCACTGGTGGAGGAGGGTGGGGGGGGAAGGGAAGTTGTGCTGTTGCAGCTTCATTAACCCATTGTCAACCAAACACAATGGCCGTTAATTGCATTTGGGTAAAAAGCAACGGGTTAAGCTAAGTCAACTCTGCTGCGCCGCAGTCCAGATACTCTTTCCCAGATAACTGCCTAACTGTTATTTACGACAATCGAGTATTTTTCGTAATTAGCTTAAATTTGACATTTGACATTTATTTAGTCTGCAAATGGAAACAACATTTTTGCTAGTTCGTTTCGTGAACTTTGTGTTCCACATCTATGGAACCAGTTTTTAGCTCCTTTTCCCTTATTATATATCATAATTATGTTAAATATGATTTCATTTAATATTTGGAGCAGCTAAACTTTATTTTGTTTCGAAAATATGTGTAAGAATACAATATTAGCTTCGGTTCTTGGAACTGGTTCTTCTTGTGGTTCAGGTTTGGTTGTTTTTCGTTTGGATTTATAGTCAAATTTAGCTTGGGTTTCTTTGATTTTCATACTTTTCGAAAAAATGTAGCGTTTTCTTCACAAATTACGGTAAAACTTATAGGTTCTGCGATGGCAGAAAATTCTGTAGCTTTTTAAATCAATTTCTTCATCTTTTGGCTTTGTTTTAGCAAATTTCCATGAAGTGGAAGCTCAGAAAAATGTCTTGTTTTCGGTATGTATTTTCCTCATTTTGAAAAAGAAATACTCCAAAAATTACTTCATAAATTATTTTATATTACTTATTATATATTGTATTATGCTGATCCTGATCCCGCTGAAGATTTTCCGATATCTGACACTAATTTAACAAAATGTTGTTTTTCAAATCAAAAAGCAATAAATAAATTGAATATAAAAGCTTAAAAGCATCTAAAAATGTTTTTTTTTGATAAATACAGGGTATTAATATTGCTATTGCTGACCAGATCCTGAAATTAAAGCATGAAAGCCTCGAAAAATGTTGCCCACTTGAATAGAGCCGCAGGCAGTTGACAGTTGACAGTCGAGAGTGTTATACGTATGTATGACAGTTGACAGTCGAGCGTGTTATACGTATGACAGAGTGTTGTTTGCAAACGTGACGGCAAAGCTGTGATGCTCGGCTGCAAAAAAAGTGCAGCGCGCTACAGGCGGCGACAGCTTTCGGGCTAAGTTGGTTGCGTAATCGCCGCTGCCTGACTGCCTGCAGACAACAGCAACAACAACACAAGTGTTGCAATAGTTAACAATGTAACGGTTATCGGCAAGACGAACGAAAGCACCAGAAGGCACACGAACACACACACACACGCACACGAAACAAACGCGCCCGTGGCGAGCCGAATGCAATCATGAATGAAGCTTACGGGCTCTGCGCGAGCTTTGCCTTTTACTTTCAATCACACATGTTGCCAGCAGCAGCAGCAGCAACAGCAACAGCAACAATAACAACAACAACAACAAATGCCCAAATCACGTTTTGCATTTTGTATTTGTACCAAAAACGCTCGATCAATAGTTGCGCGCGCGCGCGCGCGTTCACTGTGACAACATACACAAACACATACACGCACGGGCGCGCGCGCACACACAGACACGCACGCATACATGCATGCGCATATGGCTTGGCTTAAGTGTCTGCGCACACGTATGTATGTATGTACTTATGCGCCCGTCTAGCCTCTGCCCCTGTCGACCCCTTTTTCGACAGTGCAAAACGCCAGGCCGACACCCCCCCCCCCCTCCCGCCACCCTCCCCGCCCACCGCTAGTCCTTCCATTCAAAATTCAAATACGAAACGCGCGCAGAAACCAAAAAAAAAAAAACATACAAAAAGCTTTGCAAAACTTTTGTTTCTGTCGCCGCCGCCGCCGTTACTGCTGCTGCTGCTGTTGTTGTTGTTACTTCTGCTGCTTCTTCTTCTTCTTGAGCGCGGTATAAATCTTTTCAGTTGAGTTTGGAACGCGTAACCGTTAAAACGTGCAGCGGAAATTTAAGTGTCGCGCTGTTGAATTCAAATTGAAACGTCGCCGTTGCCATTGTTGTTGTTATTTATTGTATTTTATATTATTTTTTAATTCCATTTTTTTTTCGTACTTGCTGCGCCTGCTTGCCATTTTTGCTTGTTGCTGTTGTTGTTGTTTTTGTTAGCATATCCGTTAGTTAATTTTGAATTCGCCGCAACATGCAAAGCGTGCAATTGAGCTGCGTCCTGATCCTGGCATTGATTGCATACGGTAAGTGGCAGCCATTTTGTTATTTGATTGTTTTAATTTGTGAATGCACAAGCTCTTATTGGAATGCGGCAATTCGTATTGGCATTAGCGCAACCTTCCATTGCGTGTCGCTGGGCTCTGGCTCTGTCTCTATCTCTGTCTCTGGGCTTGGTTGTGCCTGTGCCTGTGTCTGTGTTTGGAGCTTTTACTTTCAAAAAAAACAATCCAAATTCCAATCGCAATCGCGTTGAATATTGAATTGAATTGAATTTCAAATGCGCGGCGGCAGCCAACCCCCTTTCCTTTGTTTTTTTTTTTCCCCCTCACTCTATTTGTTTTTTTTTTTTTTTGTTCTCGCGCTAGACCAAAATCCAGTTTAATTGGCCAGCTAAGCAGGTAACTGGTCTGCTTGGCCGAAGGCTAGACCAAAGATTTGTTTCATATAGCTCAGACTCGCCGCTTTCTGCTCCAATTAGCTGCAGCAGCTCGCGACATTTAACCCTGAAGCTGAACACAGTCTAAAGGCGGGCGAATTAACTCACCCCCCCCCCCTCCCACCATCCTGCCGCAGCAGCTGCTAAAGTAACTGTCAACTCATTTGGCATGCAGATCCAGTACAATTATTATTATTACTTTTGCTTTTGTTGAGTCAGCCAGAGTCAAGCCTTGGTTGGCTAAAGAACAGCAAGTTCTTTGATGTACACTGAGAAAAATGGGCACAGACTAAGCCTAGCTCAAGCTACAAATTGTTAAATATTATATATTATATATAAAACACAAATAATATTAAAATTTAAAAGTGCAATTATCCAATAAACAGGTATAAACTCACAAAAAGCCAAAGTAAAGCTAAAATTTAAATAGTTTTGCAATTTGTAGTCGAAATTTCAAGATAATTGCTATGGCTGTACGTCTACACTGAGAAAAAAAAATGCATGAATGTTGCTGAAGCTGCGAAATTTCTTGTTAGCAAGTCAAGCTCAAGTTGTAAATGTTAGTCCAAAGAGTGAAAATATTAAATTTAACAATTATAACAGTTATTTTCGATTGTACACTGAGAAAAATGTGCGGGCACAAGTCTAAAAACTAAGTTCCAACAAAGTCAAGCTTAAATCTTATGAAAATCTTTTCAGATATTTTGTTACTGTTACTTTTGATTTAATATTATGTGTGTGTATAAGTGTAACTTATTACACTGAGAAAAATGTTTTGAATGGATTGTGTGTACATTTAAAAAGTTTATCTATTGTGAGCTTAGATTTGAGGCAAAGGAACTTATGGAATCTTCTGAAATCTACAAAACTCCAATTGGAACACAAATTATTGAAAATTTTAGATGAAATATAAATACAAATTAATAGATATATATATGCAATATATTAAAATAGCAGAAATTGAAGCTCGTGTCATATTAAGAAATCTGCGTGTCGAATCTTCAAGTTAAATTAAAATTTGTACAATGTTAAAATATTTAGCTTAACTCTACTCTACTCTACTCTCTCTACTCTACTCTCTTCACTCTACTCTACTCTATTCTCTTTACTCTACTCCCTACTCTACTCTACTCTACTTTACTCTCTACTCTACTCTCTTCACTCTACTCTCTTTACTCTACTCTTTTAACTCTGCTCTCTTTACTCTACTCTCTACTCTACTCTACTCTACTCTACTCTACTCTACTCTACTCTACTCTACTCTACTCTACTCTCTCTACTCTACTCTCTTCACTCTACTCTCTTCACTCTACTCTCTTTACTTTACTCTCTCTGCTCTACTCTACTCTCTAGTCTCTTTACTCTACTCCCTACTCTACTCTACTCTACTCCCTACTCTACTCTACTCTACTCTCTATTCTACTCTCTCTCTACTCTACTCTCTACTCTACTCTCTTCACACTACTCCCTACTCTACTCTTTCTACTCTACTCTACTTATTAAGCCAAATATAGGATCTCCTTAAGATTTGGATGCATATTCATCCCTTTGCATAACATTCACATAAAACCGCTTCAGTTTTGAGCAGTGTATTTCGAGTACTTTTGACTTAGAACTTCGAAATATCAAATATATCTTAGAACTCGTTAAATTTACGGTTTACTTCTGCTGTCCTGCGATCCAGCTCATTTATTTTGCTTAGTGTATTCGTGTATTATTCAAATACAGACGATCGGATGCTTTAAATTAAAGCAAATGCCAAACATTTAAATGCTATCAAAATCAAACTAGAACTCGGCCCGTCAAACCAGTTGATAATCAAAGGCAATCACATAATATTATAGGATTTCGATGCCGGCCCAACGAGTTTTTTTTGTTCGACTAGCACTTCAAAAGGTTGATTTGATTTTTAGAGTTAAACCAAAAAAACGAGAAACAAAAAAAAGAAACGCGATTTTGTGTTTGCGAAAAACGTCGCTTCTGCACAATAATCGATCAGTTTTTTGGATAAAGTAATTACCGGAAATCGTTGCGTAGCAGTGTTAAGCACATAGTATGCATAATACGACGCTCAACCAGTTACCCGAGGCGGGCCTTTGGCTCCCGCTCCCAGGTTACATCATCGCCGGCGCTAGACGTGAAGATGCTCGAAAGCCGACAACGACGACGACGACGACGACAGCGCACATCACTTGCACTGACAGTTACATTTACACTCACTCACACACACACAACTACACTTAGAAAAACCAGTTAAGTGTTGCCAGTTGTGGGAAGGAAGGAAGTGCGCGTTTCGTGTTTAATAATGGGCATTGAAATGGTTGGGAAAACAACGTTGGCGACATTTCCCGATGCGAGCAATTGCTGACTGCTGACTAAAAGCGCCACAGATGGCGCTAACAGTCAATTGGACAAGTTTATCGATAACAACTATGCATCAGGAAAGCCAATCATCAATAATAACATTGATACATATGCATATCGATAACAATGTGAATTACCAAAAAAAATTTTGATATCAATCAAAAATCACGATAGCGATAGCTTGACAATAAGTCGATTGGCTCAAACAATAATGTTATCGATAACTTATCGATAATATTGTGTAAAGATAACTATAGCGATAGTTCAAAACAAGCGATGGCAGTCGGAAAAGAAATGCCGATATCGATAACAACACTAAAACAATATATGCAACAGTAAAAATTACGGCATCGATAGCCCAACGATACCTTGGATAACAATTATTAAGATCGATAATATTTTTAAGTGATTGCAATCACTGAAGCTAAAGCGATAACAATATCGATACTAATAAGCAAGACAAAAACCTTGTCGATAACGATAGCAATAACATTAGGGGTACAAATATCGATAGTCCAATCAGCGAAGTAATAACGATAACAATTTCGATAGAAATTACAATGAGAATAACTTTCTTGGCAGCAAATATAGACATAGAGAACAAAGGGGTTATCGATTGGCGGTAAGAGTAAAGAAATCGATAGGTATAATAACTAAGGTAGCAATAATTAAACCACATTCGACAATGCTTCCCCTAACGATAACGATAACATTAGCGTTGCAATTATCGATAGCACAAGTAAAAGTAAGTCAATAGCGAAAACGATATTGATGTCGATTGCAAAAGAGAAAATGCAAATTGGGATAACAATAACAATAGACAATATCGATAACATTAACGATAACGATAACATTAAAGTTACAAATATCGATAAAACAAAGCTCAAAAGCAAAAAACATATTGACGCGATAGCAATAGAGAGGAAAACATTCAAGATAGCCATAACAATAAACAGCATCGATAACATTAACGATAACGATAACATTAGCGTTGCAAATATCGATAACAAGTAAAATTAACTCAATAGCAAAAACGATATTGATGTCAATAGCAATGAGGAGGATAACAATTAAGCTAGCAACAACAATAAACAATATCGATAACATTCAAGTGAACGATAACGATAACGATAACGATAACAATTTAAATTGCAGGACACGGTCTGGCCGTCGGCTCACCCGAATGCCCCGAGAAATATGGCGTCCAGGCGTACGCGCACACCGAGAACTGCGATCAGTTCTTCCTCTGCACCAACGGCACCTTGACCCTGGAGACCTGCGAGAACGGCCTGCTCTTCGATGGCAAGGGCGCCGTTCACAACCATTGCAACTACAACTGGGCCGTCGACTGCAAGGGACGTCACTGGGATCGTGAGTAGTCGGCTCTCAAAGATTAACACATGCCTTACCCCCCTCCCTTCCCCTTTTGTTTTTGCAGCCACGCCCATTTCAACGCCTGGCTGCGAATATCAGTTTGGACTGTACGCCGTGTCCAAGGAGTGCTCGACAACGTATATCAAGTGCGCCCACGGCGAGCCGCACGAACAGGACTGCGACGCGGGCTTGGCGTACGATGAGCGCATCCATGGCTGCAATTGGCCCGATCAGCTGCTCGAGCACTGCAATCCCGAGGGTGAGCTAGGATCAAATCAAATCATTTCACAGAAATCCCAACTAATTGTGTTTCTTTGCAGCTGTTGTCGGCTTCAAGTGCCCGACTAAGGTCGATCCCAATTCGGTTGCGGCACGCTTCTGGCCCTTTCCCCGATTCCCCGTGCAGGGCGATTGCCATCGGTTGATCACCTGCGTCGAGGGCTATCCGCGTCTCATTAGCTGCGGCGAGGACAAGGTGTTCGATGAGCATACGCTCACCTGCGAGGAGCCCGAATATGCCAGCGGCGGCTGTGCCAACTATGGCAAATAGTGTGACCGTATCTCCAAAAACCACACACACACACAGACACACACACAGACACAGACCGACTCAACTGTACATATGTATGTAAAGCTGCTCGAGCCACGCTCAAAGCTCAAAGCTCAAAGCTCGGCCCTGGCTCTCTCTTGTGCTCTCACTCTTGTGCTCTCTCTCTCGCTCTCTCGTTTTCTCTTGCTCGTTTATGCACACGGCCTATCTGTCTGTCCCGCTCGCACTGCACCCATTTCCTAGCATCAAATATTGCAATAACTATCGTTTAATTTTGCACACTATTTTTTTTTTTTTTCTTCACATATATATAAATATATATTGTTAACCATAATTTGTATATGTTGTTTTTTTTTTTTTGTTGTTTTCAAAATGAGCACTAAATGCAATAAACTGTAAATTTATTTATTGTAATATTTTTGAAGAAAAAAATACGAAAATTGTTTTCCCTTTGACTTTGACCAACAAAGTAAGTATATGTATTCTGGATCAGGACTTGTCTCGAATCGCGACAACAACAAGGAATAGAGACTGGAAATTCCTTAAACATATTCTCCTATTAAGTATCGATATGTGCGAATCAATATCGATAAATATCGTTTCGGTTTTTCAAGCTTAACTCGAAGATTACAAAAGTTAGCTAAATCAAACTTGGTATTTGGGTAGTTTTATAGATTTTACGGATGAAAAATACTTCACTTTCTGAAAACCTAGCCCCATATCATCTCCAAAATTCTAATTACTAAAGCTAAAACCTTGCGCTTTGATACAATGACATAATGTTCGGACAACAAAGTCCGAAGTTCATCAAAAAGGTATTTGCCGCGGCCCGCACTTTGCTAATATATTAGCTGGAACTTGGACACGGGAACAACTTAACTTATCGTTAACTCAAAATCGAGAAATATATATTTATTTATAAAGAAAAAGCGGGCTACAAATCTAAGAAGTAGAAGAACAAAAAATGGGCGTCAAGTCGTACCGTGGCAGGTTTCACTGTGGAAATAGAGAAAGAAAAATAAAAACGAATAATAATAATAATCTATCACATGGAAATTCATGGATCGCTTTGTGTGGATCAATCGATCAGATGACGCGCATGATCCTGCGGCGTTGAAAATATAATCGCATAGATCAGGCCGTCGCGGACCGACTCCGTCGGACTGCCCACATTGAACATGAACTTGACGCGCTGCCGTACAATGTCCGGAACGCACGAGTACATCGGATACCAGCCCATCTTATTGAAGACGACGTAGATCTTGTAGATTTGATTGCGATAGATGTAAACGGGTCGATCGAATGTGATGTCCAAATGTGAATCGTAGCGCACGCGTGCCGTACAGTGCGTATACGTGATTCGCGATCCGTGCATATCCTGAATGTGCGCATAGAGCACCTCGGTATAGCGCTCGGCAAAGCCGGCCGAATTCATCAGTTCGCCGCAAAGCACCTGCGTCGGCACCTGAACGCCCAGTATCCAAATGTTGGTGTCCACCTGAAATGCAATTGGGGAATGATGGCAAAAATTGAAGTTTTTCGATTTCCACCTATATTTCGCGCATATGTGTGGATTTTGGGCTAGGTACGACTTGTTTTCATTCTAGTCATTCATTCAAGTTGAAGGAGAATACAGTTAAGGCATAAAACTCTCAGACGAAGGTTATCTACGCAGTTTTCACTTTTGTGTGTGAAATCGTTTTCACCATTTTAAGGTGAATACTGCAAGAGATTCCGGTGAAAACAATAAAGTTTTAACAGACAGTGAAAAGTTGAAGGGTTTCAGACAACAGGCATTCAACCATATTCACTTCTTTGGGTGGAATCTACAAAAAAGTTGCAGCGAACAGTTTTCCACCGATTCTTCCATCTTCACTTTATGTGAAGCTTTTCATTGATACCTTTTTTTTTGGGTGGAATTGTATTTTTGGGTGAAATTTACAAAAGATTGTTAAGACTTTGAAACAGACAAAGTTTTCCACGTATTTTCCAGACGTTTTAGCAGGGAAAAGCAAAAGCTTGCTGACAAGAAACAATTTCACACCTCTGGCTGGAATCTACAAAATATATTTTCCACCTATTTTTCACTTGTTCAAAAATGAAAATATTTTTCTCAACAACTTTCACTCTCTTGGGTGGAACATACCCACATTTTCCACCTTCTTGGGTGGAATCTAAAGGCGAGGTTTTAACAGGGAAAAGCAAAAGCTTGCTGACAAGAAACAATTTCACACCTCTGGGTGGAATCTACAGAATATGTTTTCTACCTATTTTTCACTTATTCAAAAATGTAAATGTTTTTTACAATAACTTTCACTTTCTTGGGTGGAACAGACTTTTCCCACATTTTCCACCTTCTTGGGTGGAATCCAAAGGAAAGAAGTTATGCTTTCCAGCTCTAAGGGGGTTATGTGATAGATGTGGAGCTCAAAGAACTTACCTGAAAGGTGACGCCACAGTCGGTGACGCTGGTGTTGCGATAGTCGAACTGGCGCGTCATCGAGCGCATGCAGTAGGAGCGGGTCATGTCGTGGTGCGAGTTGCTAGCGACGGCGACATCGTTGTCGTTGCCGGGCGGAACGGCAGCTGCTGCCGCTGGGGCTGGTGGGGCGCCCTCGTAGGCATCGTTGTTGGCGGGCGGATTGTTGGGCAGAGCGAGCGGCTCGTCGACAAAACTGAAGCCCGCACTGATCGGCACATGATCCGCGCCGGCTGCGGCGCCGAGATTGAGCGGCACACTGATCCGCTGGCGTGTGAAGAGCGGCTGATTGGGCTGCGGAATGGCAAAGGCGCGCGCAATGGCATCCGGCCGGAAGCCGGCATTTGTGGCATTGTTGTTGGTGGTGCTGCTGCTGCAGCCGGCGGCATGGCGATACGAGGAGTTAAGCTCGCGCTGCCGATGCGATGATTCGTAAAAGTTGCGCGTGCTGCGCGAGACACAGAAGCCCTCGGGCATATTGCAATCGTTCAGCGTGGGGCTGGAGATCTTGATGAGTATGGCCAAGGCCTCGTGCTGTTGCAGCAGCTTGGAGCGTGCCGGTCCCTCGGCAAACTGTTGCGGTGTCATGGTCAGGAAACGTATCTTCTTGACCGCCTGCCGGAGCATCGCTCCATCCATAATGGTGCGCTGTGCATCCATCATATTGATCATATTGGCCGCCGCCTCGGCGGCGTTCATCTCGTCGTTGGCATTGCCGGAGGCGTCGCTGTCAATGATGACCACATCATCGCTGACCACAGCTGCATTCACATTGCCATTCGAGGAGGACCTGCTGCTGCTGTTGGAGGCGTGTATCGGCGAGCTGCATCCCGAGCCGCTGGCTGTTGTCGCCTGCTCGCTGACATGCTTGTAGCTATCGACATCCTCGTCCTGATGCATGTGCTGCACCATGGCCGCCACATCGGGCTCCATTTTGATCTCCTCGACAATCTCATTGGCCGCCGCCTCCGGATGCTCTGCGCAGGCCAACAACGATTTGTTATTCCCACTGCCGCTGGCGACATCGTCGTTGCCATTTTGCTCATTCAAAATGCCGCGTTCGCTGGCGAATTTCAGCAGGCAATTGAACAGATCCAGCTCGGAGTCAATGTTGAGCCGATGCTGATCCAGTATGGCCATTAGCGTGGACACCTCAATGTCCAGGAAACTGGGATCGGAGAGCACCTCACGTGTATTGGCCGCTATCAGATCCATGCTGCTCTGCATCAGGCGCGGCTCATCGAACAGCTTGGCAAACTCGTAGGCGCGACACGCATTCTTGGGACTCAGATCGGCCCAGAGGAAGTGCGTGCAGCGCGTCACCACATGCGGCAGCATATATTTCTTTGCCACGTAGCACAGTTCGCAGGCCTTGTCGAAGGAGCCGATGGTTATCCGATCCGTATAAATATACTCGAGCATCGCCTCAAATGCCTCCGGCTGCACATCGGGTATTATTATGGGATCCGTCTTGTCCGGCAGATTGCCAAAGAACATGCGCTCAAAGACGGGCGATGCCATCGCCAGGAGCAGCTTGTGGCCAGCGATAATGCGTTGATTTGGCGGAGTGCCCACCAGGAAGCGGCAGTCGGCCCATTTCTCAGAGTGCAGCAGATACTGGCCGCGATCCTTGATCTCTGTCAGACTGTTTTGCCAGTCCAGGTCCATAATATGCACAACAAATTGTAACCAAAAACGATCGCAATTAATATTTATTTATTGTGTACCCTTGTTTATATGTATGTCGCGGTTTCAGTGTTGGGTAACGGCATGTCGAAGCGCAGCTTGGTGAAAGTAGTGAGCAGAAAATATCGCAAAAGAAATATCGATTAATAATTAAATTAAATGCCAATCCAACTAGCAGATAGTAATGAAATAATCCACAATTTAATTAAACTAGATGAGCGAGCTTAAATTTAATGTGCAGCATAGCTTTAGTAACCCCAAGTAACACGAGTTGATGTAGGTCGCGTGTGCTCGGCAAGGTTGCATTTGGCAATGTGTGGCATATACCAAATATATCGATATTTATGCAAATCAAAGAGCGAACTGCAAAACGAACCAATAAATATGATGGGTATTAATCGCGTCTGCCGCTGCGGTCACACCTAAACCAAACCAACAGCAACAATTGCATTGCGTAGAAAAATAAAGTGCTTAAACGTATAAAATTTCTGCACATATTTGATTGGCAATTAACTTGCGCGCCAATAACAACAAATAAATCATAACTTAAGCGAAAAACCCATATAATTGTTGTCTCCACTGTGTATGTGTGTGTATTTGCTTTGTTCTATACAGAACCTGTGAGTGTGACTGAGTCTGAGTGTGTTTGTGCGGGTGCGTGAGTGCGAGCGTGCGTTGGTGTGTGTGTGTGTGTGCGTTTGTGCGCGTGCCGTAACGTGAAATGGCAAAGAAAACGTACGATTTACTTTTTAAACTCCTACTAATTGGCGATTCCGGCGTTGGAAAGACCTGCATACTATTCCGTTTTTCGGATGATGCATTCACATCAACATTTATATCGACCATAGGTAAGCAAATGGCGCAGTCTTCAGTTGCCAATGCATATGTATGTATGCGTGTTGTGCTGTCTGTGTATTGCATATACCTGCAAAGTGGCTGCCGCTCTTTGGGTGTGTGTGTGTGTCTGTGTGTTGGTAAGTGGCATTGTCAATTGCCAATGTGTTGGGTGTAGGCGGCGCCCAAAAGCAACAAGGACACGGAAACTTCTCTGTGCATTTTGGGCGTGGCATTGTCTTAATGAGCTCCACTGACCTCCCGCACTCGACCTCCTGCCGCTTGGTAAATAATGTACATAGATACATATGTATGCATGTGCTGCCTGTGGCCTTTACTGCGCCGGATGCGATAGCCTTTGGACTTGATGAATTGCACTCGAAGCCCGCATAAGTCGCATTCAACTTAGTAACTGTTGTTATTGTTATTGTAGCTGTAGCTGTTGTTGTTGCTGGTTAACCACTGTGCTGAGTGTTGGTAAACTAGATTAACTATTGTGACGCATATCTATATGTATATATGTATGTATATACATGTATATGGTTGTGTGTGTTGTGATTCATATACAAAGGAACGAACACATTCTTCAGGTTTCAATTTAATAAATCGTTATCAAACACTTCATGCTACAGCACGATAAACGATAAACAAGTCGCACTTGTGACGTCATTTCTGCAATTAGCTAAAGCCTAATAAACGATCTTGTACTTGTTGTTGTTTGCCTTGCAGGAATCGATTTCAAAATTAAAACAGTCGAACTCAGGGGCAAAAAAATTAAATTACAAATATGGGACACTGCCGGCCAGGAGAGATTTCACACAATTACCACATCCTACTACCGTGGCGCGATGGGCATAATGCTCGTCTATGACATAACGAACGAGAAAAGTTTCGAGAATATAGTCAAATGGTTACGGAACATTGACGAGGTAAGCTACCAGCCGGCGGCACCCTCTGTCATAATTTATTTATCGAAATCTCTCTCTCTCTCTCTCTTTCTTTTCGTAGCATGCAAACGAGGATGTGGAGAAGATGATATTGGGCAATAAGTGCGATATGGGGGACAAGCGAGTGGTCAGCAAAGAGCGCGGCGAGGCGGTAAATTACCCACAACTCAATTCACACACACACACACACATATACACAATCTCCTCTCTCTCTCTCTCTCTCTCTATTTGCTCTGCCGCACAGATTGCCCGGGAGCATGGTATACGGTTTATGGAAACATCCGCCAAATCAAATATAAACATTGAGCGCGCATTTTGTGAACTTGCCGAGGCCATATTGGATAAAACATCTGGACGCGAATCGGCCGAGAATCCCGAAAGGGTGGTCGTTGATCGCAGCAACAGCGACAAGGCGCCGGGCTACAACAAGTGTTGTGCGTAATGGGGTTATGACACTTGTTAGTTTAACGTTCACGGTTGGTTTTGTGATCTACATACATACATGCATACATGCAGAACATACATACATATATATATATCTATATATATATATATATACATAACAATCTTGGCAAAAACCTAGTGCTTTTCTTCAATGTGCGTGTGCGTGTGCGTGTGTGCGTGTGTTTTTTGTAACTTTTTTATAGGTCCTTTAATATTACTATATGAACAAAAAAAAAAAAGAAGAAAAAAAAACAAAACACCAAAATGCGTTTTCTACTGGGTGGCAACCCTACCATCTAAAAGTCGGGATGCCAATTTAAATGGTACTCATACACGTCCTGTCTCGCTCCCACAAATGACATTTCCTAAATGCAAACAACAAAAAAGCCAACTAAGGAAAACTAACAAGTGTCATAACCCCACGAAGGGCGGGACTGCAGTAAATAACTGTAACCGAAAGCAATAAACATAGACTCACACACACACACACACACACACATATATACACATTTATAGCAGTAACAACCAAGAAACAACCTACCTAAAGTTTAAAATTTTATAATGTAATTTGGAGTAAATTTACAACAACAACAAAACACAGACACAACACACACAACGTACGTTAGTTAACGCACAAGGAAGCGAACCAAGTGGAAAACGAAACAGCTGCAAATTGAGGAACAATACAAAATTCAAATGCATTTTGCGTGTCACGAGCATTTGTGGCATGCGGACTTACTTAGCTAACGTGGAACAGACGGAACTGAAACGGACGCACATGCGACTTAAACTCACTCTCTCTCTCTCTCTCACACACACACATAATGTATTTGTATATGTATATGGTAATTACTTAAATACCACAAATCACTTAAAATATACCGACTATTTATGTACGCGTTTTTTACAACCTCTCTTTTTGGCTACCTGCAGCAGCACGAATGCCTGAAAACTTGACGAAACATTTAACTGTAACTTAAAATGTTATATATATACATATACATACATACATATGCATAAACACACACTCAACACACATGCATACGAAATGTATTGGTAAATTCTTTTTGAGCATTTTTGTTTTGACTTTTCGACTTTTCGACTTTTTGGCTACCTGCTTTGCGTTTAACCGTTAGTTAGCTTAGCCTAAAATTGCTTATTGTTTTGTTATTGCCAAATGATAAATAAAGAATGGGAAGAAGCAGCAGCAGCAGAAGCAGGCGTGAAGAAACGAAATAGAGTATAGAAGAAAACGAGCTGCATATTAAAATGATATCGTATTGTGTATGTTTAAATGTTTAAACAAAACAAACAAATTGGCCAACGGGGCGTGTCTATGAGAACTTTTCTTAGCCTTGGCCTAACACATATACATACATATATATACATACACACACACACATATATATATATATATACATAACTATAAACTATTTTTTTTCGTAATACTTATTATTTGTAAATGTATATGGATTTAGCGTAGTTGTCCACACCAAATGATTTAATGATTAAATATAAAGAACAATTTAAAGCGTCATCTAATCCAATAAAAAACAAATAAAAACATCAGCCAATTTGTGTCAAGTGGCAGGAGGGCGGGGGGGGGGGAGGGGGAGGGGGGGGTTAGTTGCTGGTAATTGCTTGATGCAGACAAACGCCCGCAATCCAGGTGGAGATCACCTGGAGGTCATCGTTGAGCAGTATGAAATCGGCATCCGTATCAAAGTCCAAGGTGCCCTTTTGTCGTTCGATGCCCAAACAGCGGGCGGGATGCAGTGTGGCCGCCTCGATGGCATATACCCTGGAGCAGTCTGCAAAAGGGAATCACAATTAATTGATCTCCAAGTGGAAGTGGAATCGGGGCTCACCTGTGGCGCGCTGAAAGATGCGCACACACTCGTCCATGGGCGCAATGCTGCCGCAGAGCGTATCGGTGCCGGCTATAAATGCCCTGCCCTGCTTCACCTCCAGCGGCAGCTGGCCAATATGATGGACGCCATCCTCGAGGCCCAGCGCCGATATGGCATCGGTGACCAGTATAAGACCCTCCGCATGGGTGCGATACGCAATCCGCAGCGCGGCCGGATGTGTGTGCACGCCGTCCGCAATGATGCCAAAATAGATGGTGCGACCAGGAGGTATGGCGTCCGAGGCGAGCAGCCCGACCAGACCCGGATCGCGATGATGGAACGGCAGCATCGCATTGAACAGATGCGTAATCAAAGTGGCGCCATGCCGAACTGCACGTTCGCCGTCGCTCAGGCTGGCCATGGAGTGGCCGAGGGCGACGGTGATGCCCATGGCGACCAGCTGATCGATGACGCCGGCATCGTGCACCTGTTCCGGCGCCAGCGTTATGATCTTGATGCGTTCCAGCTGGCCGTAGGTGGCCCGCACCGTTTCCAGGCCCTATCAAATGGTCAGGGAAAAGATTAGATTCGAATTGTGGCCTGAAATCTACGCACATTGTCGATGGTCTGGATGCAGCTCTCCGGATGGGCGCCTTTCTTTTGCGGATTGATGAACGGACCCTCGGCGTGCACGCCCAATATGCCGGCGCCGCCTTCGATCTGCTGCGGCATGCGCGGCAATATTGTGTGATAGCTGTCCGTCGGTGACGTCACCAGCGTCGGGCAAAACGAGGTAACGCCGTTGCACACCAGACCCCTGGCGACCTTTTCCACGCCGGCCTCAATGCTGTCCTTGTCGTACGAGAAGTCCACGCCGTAGCCACCTGAAACAGAGAGAGAGAGCGAGAGAGTGAGAGAGAGTGAGCGTGCATGAAAATTGTCGCCAGTCGCTGTCTCTGTCTTTGGCTATTGCTGCACCGCTCTAACGCTTTGTGTTTATGATTTGCAATCGCGGCACAGTGGGGCAAATGGCGATAAGATTAACAAACAGAAAACAACAAACAAAAGTGAAATATTTCAATGGTTGACTGAGGCAACGGACCTTGGCGACGCATTCAAAAGTGAACTTTTGCTAGCTGTAACTGTTCGTTTACCGTTAATTTGCAGATCTATGTAGCCGGGCGCTATGATGGCGCCGCCGCAATCGATGCGCCGATGCGACTTGCTGCGCTCATCATAGAAAACGGGCTCCGGATTGATGATCTTGCCGTCCCGCACCCACAGATCGTCCTCGATTAGCCGATGGTCGCGCACCAGACGGCAATTGGTGAACTGAATTAACTGTCGCACACTTTTCGACATGCCGTTATCTGTGTGTGTGTGTGTGCAGAAGAAAAGAAACAAGCAACAAATGGAGGCCAAAAACGAACTGTAAAAAGCAGTAAATAATTGCTTGTTTTTTGTAAAATCAAAATTGAAAAGATTAATATTATGTTTAGCGGACAACTCGGACTTGAACGACGCCCGCGTCGCTGGCGGCAACCAAATGTTGAGTGCTCCGCAAGCAGCGCGTCCGGGTTAAATAAACGGCGCTGCCAATCCAGGCGAGTCTGCTGCTCGCACCCACACAGCTGGCAAAATCGTCTGCTTTTGCTGCGTTGCCGATTTTATGCTAAATTAACATATGTTCGCATACCTATCGATAACAGTAACAGCCATAGCATCCAGCATTTGACTGGCTGCAAACTGTTAAATGTTTTCAACATTTATTGTTTATGTTATGCGCTCAGCGCAACAGTTGTGAGCAGCATACCATATGCTTAATTAACATATGTTCGCATACCTATCGATAACAGCAACAGCCAGCCAGCCAGGCAAAGGAGTGTGCAGTGTCATAGCAGCCAGCATTTGACTGGCTGCAAACTGTTAAAGAACAATATCGAAATGCAATCGATTTAATTTGAATTTGAATTCAAATTATCTTTAAGCAAATATTACGCCATGGGCGAACTGTACATTTTGCCGGCCGCTTGCTTATCAATTATAAATAGGTTTTCTTTGTGGATTATGGCGATAAGGCCAAAAGTGATTCGCCCAACAAATGCAATTGTTTTCACAAGCGAACACTTGAAAATAATTTAATACGGTCACGGCACTCTATCTTTATTTGCTCTCTCTCTTCCACTCTCTCTCTCTCTCTCGCTTACTGATAGCGGTAATCTTTGCGGTCCGTGGAGAAGTTTTGCGGCTTGCAGTGGCAATTTGCCCGACACCGCAGCCGCACATTGTTTGTTATCTCTTCCACTTGTTCGTGTACTTTGCTGGCAAACTTTGCCAGAGGGAGGGGGGAGGGGGGGGGACGACGACACCCAGATACCATAAGGTGGTACTTGCGTAGGCACAGGAGACGGACGGTGGGGGGGGGGGGGGGGGCAACTTATAACTTGCATTGGAAGCGCAAATTGCGCTGCCTTTCCATTTGGCATGCACTCATTTGGGTTATCTGCACGGGCACTTAATAAACTTAATGACTCTCGAAGATACTCTGGCTTTTCTCTTTTTTTGTTTTTCACAAAATCTCTCGCCTAAAAGCATTCAAGTTTTATCTGGCTCCGATAGGCGTTACTCTACTTAACCCCCCCCTCCACCGCTTTTCCTTTTTCGCTTTGATAACATTTGCAAAGACAAAAAAAAAAAAAAGGCAAATGTTGTCATTGGCAACCCTTTGATGCCCGCCCATGGCAAGTCCCGCAAATTATGAGAAGAGAAAAAGAAAACAAACAAACAAACAACTAAGCGTGCCCGACGAGCAGATACCCTAAAAACACGCGCGTTGACTTTGTCTGGGAGACTGCGTTCCCAATTAACTCGGCTGTTTGTCGTCCGATCTTTGTGAAACTTTCGGAGCTTGAATGTCTAAGAGACGCGTGCCTGCATCCAGAACTTGGCTTATGTAGCTCAGATAGTTCTCGAGTTATGCTGAGAGAAAACCTTGGATATTTGTCGATATTACCAAACTGAATGACTAGCGAATATATATAGCTAGATGGACTCGGCTGATCGGGAATATATATATAAGACTTAAGACTGCTTCCGACAACCTCTTACACACATTATACCCATTATACCCTCTACCCCCATGGACTTTGGGTATACAATTCCGCACAAAATAAACTCAACGACAACAAACAGCAAAAAAAATGCTCAGCAAATCCCGAAAACAGGCAAATGCAATAAACTTTTAATTAGTTAAGTCGCACATAGGAAAAAAAATAATAAAATAAAGCAGGAAATATTTTTTAAAAATACCACACATACACGCGACATTTACGCATGTCGCCGGAGCTCCTCGTGAGTTATTTGCCACAAAGTAAAACAATGTTTCTGCGCTTTTCTGTTTGCCTGCAAGTTTCATGACATTTTTTTTATTAATTGCTCAGCAGTCCGCTGCCCCGCAGCTAGTTTAAATTTAAATTAATTAATTAGTGCTCACAAAGCAGAGCATGCAACGTCGCATATGCATTTGCCTCCTGCTTTTCCTTGATTATTTCTCTATTTTTGCGTATTTTGCAATACTAATGTCAAAACTATCGAATTTTCATTATATTCTTTTTAATAATTGTTATTTGGTATTCATTATTCATAATTATGATTATTCATTTTTCATTTAATATTTATTATTTGTAACTTATTACTTGTTATCTAATATTTATTATTAATTATTCATTATTCACCATTCATTAGTCAGTATTCATTATTCATTATTAAATATTTAGCTTTGATTATTCAGTATTTATTAATTAGTTTTCATTTTTCATTGTTCATTGTTCATTGTTCATTGTTCATTATTCATTATTCATTATTCATTGCTCATTGTTCATTGTTCATTATTCATTAGCTGGCTCGAGGTCCGTGGTTTATTCAAAACAAAAATGAAACACAATTTTGTTTTAGTTTATATGTTATGTATATCTTTCATATCTGGCGAATAAAATATATATTTAAACATTTAAATTTGTATATATATATTTAAATATATATTTGGAAGATTTATTCTTCGAAAGCGAAGCTTCCAGGTAAATCATTTTTTAATTAACATGCCTCACAGTTTTGCCAAAATATATAAGTAAATCTCTAACTGGAATCCAACTCCCAATCTAACCTAACAAAGCCAAACATAACCCAATCAAATTTCAGCTCAACAAATCGCTTATAACCTAAAATGGTCTAAGCTAAAACCTAATCCACGCAAACTTGAACCAATATAACAAAACCCAATCCAATCAAATAAAACCTAAGAGCCAGCCCAGCCTTACCAAAACCGATTGAAGCTAACCTCAAATAACCTAACATAACCTAACAAAATGCAATATAACCTAACAAAATGCAACATAACCTAACCAAAATGCAACATAACCTAACAAAATGCAACATAACCTAACCAAAATGCAACATAAACAACCGAAATTCAACATAACCTAACCAAAATGCAACATAACCTAACCAAAATGCAATATAACCTAACAAAATGCAACATAACCTAACCATAATGCAACATAACCTAACCAAAATGCAATATAACCTAACAAAATGCAACATAACCTAACCAAAATGCAACATAACCTAACAAAATGCAACATAACCTAACCAAAATGCAACATAAACAACCGAAATTCAACATAACCTAACCAAAATGCAACATAACCTAACAAAATGCAACATAAACAACCGAAATTCAACATAGCCTAACCGAAATTCAACATAACCTAACCAAAATGCAACATAACCTAACAAAATGCAACATAACCTAACAAAATGCAATATAACCTAACAAAATGCAACATAACCTAACCAAAATGCAACATAACCTAACAAAATGCAACATAACCTAACCAAAATGCAACATAAACAACCGAAATTCAACATAACCTAACCAAAATGCAACATAACCTAACAAAATGCAACATAACCTAACAAAATGCAATATAACCTAACAAAATGCAACATAACCTAACCAAAATGCAACATAACCTAACAAAATGCAACATAACCTAACCAAAATGCAACATAAACAACCGAAATTCAACATAACCTAACCAAAATGCAACATAACCTAACAAAATGCAACATAAACAACCGAAATTCAACATAGCCTAACCGAAATTCAACATAGCCTAACCGAAATTCAACATAACCTAACAAAATGCAACATAACCTAACAAAATGCAATATAACCTAACCAAAATGCAACATAACCTAACAAAATGCAACATAACCTAACCAAAATGCAACATAAACAAACTGGCTGTGTTTGCCAGTGCATGCGTGTTCTTTGTGAAACAAAATAATTGAAATTCGGATTATAGGGTATGCCCAAGTCGTCTGGGTCGTGGATCAAGTGTTTAATATTGTTTGCAATGGACAACAAGTACATGCATATTACTTATTTACGACTTTTTCCAGCATGACTAGACAAACGGGACGAATGAGGGGAGAGGGGTGTGTGTGTGGAGGAAGAGGAAGAAGCATTTGCCGGAGCTTTTTGGGGGGGGGGGGGTGGGGGGGGCAAGCGGATTTTGGTTAGTTGTCGGTGCTTTTGTGCGATCCCAAGCGCCACATGTTGCACTGCAAAATGATTGCGGTGCCGCATTGCATTGCAAAATGTTTTATTGCATTCTTGTTGCAGCAACAACAACAACAACAACAACAACAACAACAACAACAACAACAAGAACTTGCGGGTGGCCCTGGGCCAGCTACAGCTACACGTAAAAAAAACAAGGGCTGCCTTCCTAATTAATCTCAAAAATTAACATTTATCCATTTCCAATGTATGTAAACTAACATTTAAGACTGTTTGCTCGACTAGCTGATACCCTGTTGTGTTTATCGAGCAGTGGCTTCTAACTATAGTCGAGGCTTTTTGATATTTAAAGGTCATAAGGAAGGTTTTCAAATGTAGTAAAGTATTTTTTTGTTTTGGTATTTTAGTATTTTTTTCAATCAATATGTAAATATGTTCAGCTTTTAATATGTTTAAGTTATGCTTAAAGAGCAAGTCTTAAGAAAATCGATAATTATCGATATTAGGAAAATGAGAGCAAAATGAGAGAGCAATGTGTAAATTCTTTATGGGATTGGAAATGCTTGCTTCTGCGTGTTACATACATTTACACAAAACCAATAAACGCTTTTCATCAATTTTTAATGATTACAGGGTATACAGACAATCATTTGCTATGCCTGATTTAAAGCATTTTCTATTAGCTGATAGATTTGCTGGTAAAATTTATCTATCGATGTTGACTGTATCGATACATTTAGGCATCGATGTTGACTCTATCGATACATTTAGGCGTCGATGTTGACTCTATCGATACA